AAGGTGACCCCTTTTCCAGTAGATTGAAAATTCATTTTGGAGACTCTTTCATCACTTAGAGACTTCTTGATCTTGGGCTTTTACATTTAAAAAAAATCATGAAGCAAAATGTTACTTTTACATCATTGTGGGCTTATAACTACTTGTTTACACTCTAATTAATTAGAAAATTATTAATGAGGCTGTTCTCCTTGAGCTAATTTGCCTTTCATTTGATTTTTTTTTTTTTTTTTTTTTTGGAGACAGTGTCCCACTCTGTTGCCCAGGCTGGAGCGCAATGGAGCGATCTTGGCTCACTGCAGCCTCCACCTCTCGGGTTCCAGCGATTCTCCTGCTTCAACTTCCTCGGGTAGCTGGGACTACAGGCATGTGCCACCACACCTGGCTAATTTTTGTATTTTTAGGAGAGACGGGGTTCTACCACGTTGGCCAGGATGGTCTTAAACCCCTGACCTCAGGTGATCTGCCCAACTCGGCCTCCCAAAGTGCTGGGATTACAGGTGTGAGCCACGCACCCAGCCAATTTGACTATTTTTAACCTGAATAAAATATTAACATTTATACTATTAAGGAAATGAATAACAGAATTATTGTATTTACTGAAAGGCTCTCAAAAAAAACAAAATAAAATAAAATAAAAAACCCAAAGACTTGAAAATGTCCCCGGGTCTGTTGGCACAGTACTTATTGTATGAAGTTAACCATAGATTCATGTATTAATGGCTTTAATTATTACATTTCTTGAGACAGAATCTCGCTCCGTTGCCCAGGCTGGAGTGCACTGGCAGGATCTCAGCTCACTGCCACCTCTGCCTCCCGGGTTCAAGCAATTCTCCTGCCTCACCCTCCTGAATAGCTGGGATTACAGCACCTGCCACCAGGCCTGGCTATTTTTATTTTTTATTTTTTAATTTTTTGTGTTTTTTAAAATTTTTTGTAATTTTTAGTAGAGACAGGGTTTCACCATGTTGGCCGGGCTGGTCTCGAACTCCTGACCTCAAGTGACCCACCCACCTCTCCCAAGGTGCTGGGATTACAGGCATGAGCCACCGCGCCCGACCTAATGGCTCTAATTATGTGTATGCCCTAACGCCCACATTTCCACCTCCAGCAGTCCTTGAACTCCAGTCTTGCCTCTGGCCGTGCTACTTGGGCCTCAATTCAGGCACCTTAAGCTTAACTTGTCCAAAATCAACCACTTAATTTTGCTCCCCAAACTCAGCCCCCTGCCTCCCTCTTCCACATCATCTTAAATGGCCACTCTGTTCTTCCAAGGCTCAGCCAAAACATCCTGGACTCATCTTTGCCTTCTCTTCCCCTCTCAACCCCCACAGCCTTCAAAACACCTCAGACCTCAGCCCACCTTAGTCCCAGTCACCATCACCTCCCCCCGGGATGGTTCCAAGAGCTTCCTCGCTGGTTTCTCAACAGTGAAGCCACAGAGCCTCCTGACGCCTCTGCTCAGACACTGTCCCATCCCATCCCACCTCACCCAGAATAAACGCCAGGGCCCCACCCCGGCCAGACGCCCTTCCTGTCACTGAGACCTCGTGTGTGAGAAGAAGCAGCGCTTGCGGCAACCGGTGCTGATTCTGGAGTCAAACTGCCCGGGCACAAACCCCCGCTCCACGACTTACTGCTAATGCAGCCGTGGCCAAGTTATTTCACCTTCCTGGGCCTGGCTTCCCTCCTAGAGAGAATCGCAGTACCTGAAGGTCATCGGGACGCTGAGCTGGTCCCTGGGGACGGCTGGGCGCCAGGTAAACACCCAAAAACGCTATTAGTGCTGTTCACCTGCTGCCGTGTCCCCTCCTCCCTGCCGTGTCCCCTCCCCCTTGCCGTGTCCCTTCCCCCCTGCCGTGCCCCTCCCCCCACCGTGCCCCTCCCCCCTGCTGTGTCCCCTCCCCCCGCCGTGTCCCATCTCCCCTGCCGTGTCCCCTCCTCACTGCCGTGTCCCTCCCCCCACCGTGTCCCCTCCCCCCTGCCGTGTCCCCTCCCCCCTGCCATGCCCCTCTCCCCTGCCGTGTCCCACCTCCCTGCCGTGTCCCCTCCCCCCTGCCGTGTCCCCTCCCCGCTGCCGTGTCCCCTCCCCTAGCCGTGTCCCCTCCCCTCGCTGTGCCCCCCCCCACAAAATGTGAGAAAATGAAATACAACAATGCACGAAAAATGGAAAATGGAACCACAGGGCAGGCGCGCGCGAGGCAGGTGTGTGTGTGTGTGTGTGTTTATAATAACAGGCATGGACTTCAGCTTCTCGCTGCCCATCACTCTGTCGCCCAGGCTGAGAGGCGTGGTCTGCCAGCTCACTCCGTCGCCTGGTGGCTGGAGGGGGAGGGTCGAGGCTGGGAGGGGAGGTGTGGACCCCAGCTCACCTCAGCGCCCAGGCCAAGGCAGTGCAGTGGCGTGTCTCAGCTCAGTCTGTCGCCCAGGCTGGCAGTGCAGTGGCATGGTCTCAGCTCACTCTGTCACCCAGGCTGAGGGGAGGGCGGGTCTCAGCTCAGTCTGTCGCCTAGACTGCAGTGCAGTGGCGTGGTCTCAGCCTGGCCCTGTCGCCCAGGCTGGAGTGCAGTGGCGTGGTCTCAGCTCACTCCGTCGCCCAGGCTGCAGTGCAGTGGCATGGTCTCAGCTCACTCTGTCACCCAGGCTGGAGGGGAGTGGCATGGTCTCTGTGGTCACTCTGTCACCCAGGCTGGAGGGGAGTGGCATGGTCTCAGCTCACTCTGTCACCCAGGCTGGAGGGGAGTGGCGTGGTCTCAGCTCACGCTTGCCGCCCAGCTGCGGTGCAGTGGCGTGGTCTCAGCTCAGTCTGTCGCCCAGGCTGGAGGGCAGCGGTGATGAGAAGGCGCCGGCCGAGAGAAGAGATTTTTCTCACTGGGCATATGGAGCACATGTGTGCCGACGGGAACGATCCATTAGAGGAGGAGTGATGGAAACACAGGCACTGTAGAACTGATACACGGGAGGCCTCAGAGAGGACAAGGCCTGGGATGGAGCCTTAAAAGTTCACCACTGAGGCCGCGTGGCTCACGCCTGTAATCCCAGCACTTTGGGAGGCTGAGGCGGGCGGATCACAGAGGTCAGGAGATCGGGCACGATCGTGGGCTAAGACGGTGGAACCCCGTCTCTACTAAAAATGCAAAAATTAGCCGGGCGAGGTGGTGGGCACCTGTAGTCCCAGCTATCGGGAGGCTGAGGCAGGAGAATGGCATGAACCCGGGAGGCGGAGCTTGCAGTGAGCCGAGATCGCGCCACTGCACTCCAGCCTGGGAGAGACAGGTGAGCAAGATCGGTCTCAAAAAAAAAAAAAAAAAAAGTTCACCACTGAGTGGGTGGCCGGCCAGAGAGAGACACCGTCAGAAAAGGGGGAAGGCCAGGCACGGTGGCTCACACCTGTAAGCCCAGGGCTTTGGGACACCAAGGCGGGAGGATCACTTGGGCCCAGGAGTTCAAGACCAGCCTGGGCAACACAGCAAGACCCCACCTCTTTAAAAAAAAAAAAAAAAAAAAGGCCGGGCGCAGTGGCTCACGCCTATAATCCCAGCACTTTTCTGGGGGAGGCCGAGGCGGGCGGATCACGCAGGTCAGAGACTCCAGACCATCCCCGGCCAACACCCCATCTCTACCAAAGCAATACAAAATCTGCCGGGCGCGGTGGCGGGCGCCTGTAGTCTCAGAAGTACTCGGGAGGTTGAGGTGGTGAGAATGGCGGGAACCTGGGAAGCGGAGCTTGCAGTGAGCGAGATTGTACTACTGCATTTCCAGCCTGGGCGACAGAGCGAGACTCTGTCTTTAAAAAAAAAAAAAAAAGCCAGGCGTGGGTTGGGTTCCCACCTGTAACCTCAGCACTTTGGGAGGCCGAGGTTTCAGACCCAGGAGTTCTTGATCCAGGAGTTCAAGACTCAGCCTGGGCAACACAGCAAGACCTCACTTCTTTAAAAAAAAAAAAAAAGCCAGGCGTGGGTTGGTCTCACACCCGTAATCTCAGCACTTTGAGGCCGAGGTGGGCAGATCACCTGAGGTTAGGAGTTGGAGACCACCCTGGCCAGCATGATCAAACTCTTCTACTAAAAATACAAGGCGCAGTGACGGGTGCCTGTCATCCCAGCTACTATCAAGGCTGAGGCAGGAGAATTGCTTGAACTGAGGAGGCGGAGGTTGCAGAGCTGTGATGGCACCACTGCACTTCATCCTGGGTTGACAAAGTAAGACCTTGTCTCCCAAAAGAAAGAAAGAAAAGAAAAGGGGAAACACCAGGGGCTTGTTTAATCATGGAAACAAGGCTACATGCAACTGGCAAGGCCAGCAAAGTGACAGCGGAAAATTCCCATGACACTGATCATCATTGGATGACCCTGAGGAAAGGAGAGGCGTGAGCGGGAAGTTCATGCGACAGGCTGAGGAATGAAACCAGAAGGGAGGGGAAGTGCAGCTGCAGAGAGGCCTCAAGAGCCATCTTTCCTAGGTGATAAAGGAAAACATAATGAAAGAGGAGGATGAGGAAGTGAACAAGGATTGTTTGCTGGCCTTAACTGGTTAACCTTTAAAACTCAGAGAGAATGAGACCTGAGAGAAAAGTCGCTGAGGAAAACAATACAGTCAACAGCAGCAGACTCTGAGATGGCCGTGGCGGGCCCAGGAGGCCCAGCCGTCCCATCCCCGCCTGCCCTCACAGACTTGAGCCAGCGCAGCAAGGTCACGCCTTGAACTTGAACTCCAAAAAACCAGGGAGGAGAAAATGGAAGCAGCTAGACCAGCCTCATTGTTTAAAAGACAGTTGTGCTGGGTGTGGTGACGCCACTTGTAATCCCAGCTACTCGGGAGGCCGAGGTGGGAGGATCGCTTGAGCCCAGGAGTTCAAGACCAGCCTGGACAACATAGCTAGACTCCGCCTCTAAGAAAAAAAAATTTTAAAAAGATGGTTGTAAAACTGTCTAGACATTATGTCATTCATAAGCAACAGTTTGTAACATAAGGTTCTATCATTAAAACACTCACCACTCTCAGATGAAAAAAAGGTGGACTCCTTTTCCAGTAGATTGAAAATTCATTTTGGAGACTCTTTCATCACTTAGAGACTTCTTGATCTTGGGCTTTTACATTTAAAAAAAATCATGAAGCAAAATGTTACTTTTACATCATTGTGGGCTTATAACTACTTGTTTACACTCTAATTAATTAGAAAATTATTAATGAGGCTGTTCTCCTTGAGCTAATTTGCCTTTCATTTGATTTTTTTTTTTTTTTTGGTATAGTGTCCTACCTCTGTTGCCTAGGTCTGAGCGCAATGAGCGATCTTGGCTCACTGTGCCTCCACCTCCCGGGTTCCAGCGATTCTCCTGCTTCAACTTCCTCGGTAGCTGGGACTACAGGCATGTGCCAACACACCTGGCTAATTTTTGTATTTTTAGGAGAGACGGGGTTCTACCACGTTGGCCAGGATGGTCTTAAACCCCTGACCTCAGGTGATCTGCCCAACTCGGCCTCCCAAAGTGCTGGGATTACAGGTGTGAGCCACGCACCCAGCCAATTTGACTATTTTTAACCTGAATAAAGACAACATTTATACTATTAAGGAATGAATAAGTGCGCCTCACAAATTATTGTATTTACTGAAAGGTTTCAAAAAAAACAAAATAAAATAAAATAAAACCCAAAGACTCTGAAAATGTCCCCGGGTCTGTTGGCACAGTACTTATTGTATGAAGTTAACCATAGATTCATGTATTAATGGCTTTAATTATTACATTTCTTGAGACAGAATCTCGCTCCGTTGCCCAGGCTGGAGTGCACTGGCAGGATCTCAGCTCACTGCCACCTCTGCCTCCCGGGTTCAAGCAATTCTCCTGCCTCACCCTCCTGAATAGCTGGGATTACAGCACCTGCCACCAGGCCTGGCTATTTTTATTTTTTTATTTTTAATTTTTGTGTTTTTAAAATTTTTTGTACCTTTTAGTAGAGACAGGGTTTCACCATGTTGGCCGGGCTGGTCTCGAACTCCTGACCTCAAGTGACCCACCCACCTCTCCCAAGGTGCTGGGATTACAGGCATGAGCCACCGCGCCCGACCTAATGGCTCTAATTATGTGTATGCCCTAACGCCCACATTTCCACCTCCAGCAGTCCTTGAACTCCAGTCTTGCCTCCTTGGCTGTGGCATTGGCCTCTCTAATTCAGGTATTCTGAAAGGACTTGTCTGGGAATTTCAACTACTGACTTTTGTTTCCCAAACTCAGCCCTGCCTCCCTCTTCCACATCATCTTAAATGGCCACTCTGTTCTTCCAAGGCTCAGCCAAAACATCCTGACTCATTCGTCTTCTTCTTCCCTTCAACCCCCACAGCCTTCAAAACACCTCAGACCTCAGCCCACCTTAGTCCCAGTCACCTATCACCTCCCGGGATGGTTCCAAGAGCTTCTCGCTGGTTTCTCAACAGTGAAGCCACAGAGCTTCCTGACGCCTCTGTCAGACACTGTCCCATCCCATCCCACCTCACCCAGAATAAACGCCAGGGCCCCACCCCGGCCAGACGCCCTTCCTGTCACTGAGACTCGTGTGAGAAGAAGAAAGCGCTTGCGCAACCGTGCTGATTCTGAGTCAAACTGCCCGGGCATTGAACCCCCGCCCACGACTTACTGCTAATGCAAGTCATACATGCTATTTCACCTTCCTGGGCCTGGCTTCCCTCCCAGAGAGAATCGCAGTACCTGAAGGTCATCGACGCTGAGCTGGTCCCTGGGACGGCTGGGCGCCCAGGTAAACACCCAAAACGCTATTAGTGCTGTTCACCTGCTGCCGTGTCCTCCCCCGCCTGTGTCCTCCCCGCCTCGTGCCTCCCGCTTCTGTCCCCTCCCTCCCCCGCTCGTGTCCCCTCCCCTGCTGTGTCCCTCTCCCCCGCCGTGTCCCCTCTCCCCGCCGCGTGTCCTCCCCGCCGTGTCCCTCCCCCGCCGTGTCCCTCCCTGCCGTGCTCCCCTCCTCACTGCTGTGTCCCTCCCTGCCGTGTCCTCCTCCCTGCCGTGTCCCCTCCGCACTGGAACGTGAGGTCCATGAGGGCGTGGGTTTCTGTTCGGTGCCAGGCCCCCAGCGCATGGTAAAGAGCTCTCTACAGAGCGGGCACTCGGTACCAGGTCTCTACACGGGGTTAGTTGCCAAGACAAACTCCTCCGATTTCCTTATTTTGTGTTAATACCGGCCAGAGCTCTAACTTGCTGGAAGATGACCTGGCACTGTCAGAGTGAGCAGCATCCGATCTGGGTGGCCCAGACCGCGCCTGGGACTCTTGCTCTGGGCGTCCTAAGCAAGAACAAACACACGAGTCAGAGGGCTTCTGGTTTCCACAGAGATCCACACAGCCACACACACGCGCGCACACACATTATGTTAATGGGGTGTAACTGATTTACAATGAACTACACACGAAGTGTAATGTTTTCACGTCTATACCTGTGAAACCATCGTTTCAGTCAAGACAGTGAACAGAATCAGGCACAGTGGCTCACACCTGTAATCCCAGCTCTTTGGGAGGCCAAGGTGGGCGGATCACCTGAGCCCAGGAGTTTGAGACCAGCCTGGGCAACACAGTGAGACCCCATCTCTAAAAAAATAAATAACAGGCCAGGCGCGTTGGCTCATGTCTGTAATCCCAGAAGTTTCAGAGAATGAGGCGGGTGGATCACTTGAGGCCAGGAGTGCGAGACCAGGCTGGCCAACACGGTGAAACCCTGTCTCTACTACAAATACAAAGATTGGCCGGGTTTGGCAGTGTACTATAATCCTTAGCTGCTTGGGAGGCTGAGGCAGGAGAATCACTTGAACCCAGGAGGCAGAGCCTTCAGTGAGTCAAGATAGTGCCACTGCACTCGAGCCTGGGCAACAGAGCAAGATTTTTTGTCTCAAAACCACACACACCCCCACACACCCCCACACACCCACACACACATCCACACCCACAAACGCACACCCCACACACCTCACACTCACACACACCCCTACTCACACCCACACACACCCACACAGTGAACTTTTAGGAACCCAGCCCGACGCCCGCTATGGATATGAAGGCTCTCCACGCTGGCGCGACCGGGAATGCAAACTACTCCCAGCCCTGAGTGAGTCCTTGAGCTCTCCTCCCTCTCTCGAAGCAGCCCTTCCTTAGGTCCCAGCTGTTCCCTCACACGCGCGGGCGCACCTCAGCTGAGGGCTCAAGGACAGCCTTCTGCCCGCCTCTGAGCTTGTTGTCCTTCACAGCACACTTTCCTCCGCGTGGAACAAAATCTACCTTGCCTCCCCACATGACCGGAGGTATGGCTACCGTGAGCTGAACAAGAAGGATCAGCTTTAGTAAGTTTGAAGCTGAGCTTCAGATCTCTAAATCACACTCGAACTGTTGGTCAAAAGGGAGCAGTGATTGCCTTGGAGCATGACATGAACATTCAGGTTCCAGTGTACTTGGAGTAGAGACGGGGTTTCACCACGGTTGGCCAGGCTGGTCTCGAATTCCTGACCTCAAGTGATCCGCCCACCTTGGCCTCCCAAAGTGCTGGAATTACAGGCGTGAGCCACTGTGCCTGGCCGGGGTGTCTATCCTTGTGAGTAGCCCTGGGGACCTGTTTGTGTGATCCCACGCACACTCAGGAACTGTTCGACGGATCTGCCTGAGCAGGCCGGGCCCACTGTTAGAAACACTGGATCCATGTAACACAACATCTCCTAGTAAGATACACTTGATTTCCTTCTGAGACGGAGTCTCGCTTCTGTCGCCCAGGCTGGAGTGCAGGGCGCCTCATTTCTGGGCTCACTGCAAGCTCCACCTCTCAGGTTCATGCCATTCTGCCTCGGCCTCCCAAGTAGCTGGGACTACAGTCACCTGCCACAATGCCCGGCTAATTTTGTGTGTGTGTGTGTGTGTGTGTATGTGTGTGTGTGTGTGTGTGTGTGTATATATATATATATATTTTTTTTTTTTTTTAAATTAGAGACCGGGTTTCACCATGCCAGCCAGGATGGTCTCATCTCCTGACCTCATGCCTGTTAGCCTCAGCGTCCCAAAGTGCTGGGGATTACAGGCGTGAGCCACCACGCCTAGCCAATACCTCTGATTTTCTCATGTGTGGTCTAGTGGCCCCCTCCAGCATGTCTGCAGGGCAGCACTGTGACCCCCATTATGAAATCTGCTGTGGCTAGGAGTCCACTTTCTGGGTCACGGCCAGGAAACTTCATTTTCCTAAACTTAAAAATCTGTACACTTCCAAAATGTGAAAAGGACATGTTGGCCGGGCACGGTGGCTCATACCTATAATCCCAGCACTTTGGGACGCTGAGGCAGGAGGATCACTTGAGCTCAGGAGTTTGAGACCAGCCTGGGCAGCATGGCAAAACCCCATCTCTACAAAAAATACAAAAATTAGGCCGGGCATGGTGGCTCAGGCCTGTAATCCTAGCACTTTGGGAGGCCGAGGCGGGTGGATCAACTGAGGTCAGGAGTTCAAGACCAGCCTGGTCAACATGGTGAAACCCCGTCTCTACTAAAAATGCAAAAATTAGCCAGGTGTGGTGGCACATGCCTGTAATCCCAGCTACTTGGGAGGCTGAGACATGAGAATCATTTGAATCCAGGAGGCAGAGGTGGCAGTGACCTGAGATTGTGCCATTGCACTCCAGCCTGGGCAACAGAGTGAGACTCTATCTCAAAAAAAAAAAAAAAAAAAAAAAAATTAGCTGGGTGTGGTGGTGCCTGTAGTCCTGGCTACTCAGAAGGCTAAGGTGGGAGGAGCGCGCAGCTCAGGGTCAAGGCCGCGGGGACAGGATTGCACCACTGCACTCAAGCCTGGATGACAGAGTGAATCCCTGTCTCAAAATACATAAACAAAAATTTCGGGAAAGGAAAAGGAAAGACTTGTGTTTACTTTCTGAAGGGTTAGTAAAACCAAGATAGTTTTGATGATGGTTTAACCATTCCAATAAAGTCAGTCTTTGCTCTTTTTTTTTTGAGATGGAGTTTCGTCTGTCGCCCAGGCTGGAGTACAGTGGTGCGATCTCAGCTCACTGCAAGCTCCGCCTCCCAGGTTCACGCCATTCTTCTGCCTCAGCCTCCCGAGTAGCTAGGACTACAGGTGCCCACCACCACGCCTGGCTAATTTTTTTGTATTTTTAGTAGAGATGGGGTTTCACCATGTTAGCCAGGATGGTCTCGATCTCCTGACCTCGTGATCTGCCCGCCTCGGCCTCCCAAAGTGCTGGGATTACAGGCGTGAGCCACCGCACCCGGCCCTCCTTGCTCTGTACTTCTAAGATTACCTAATTCTAAGACATTGTGTTACCTGATTTAGTATTGTATAAATAGTTTCCCTGTTTATTTCAGACACATCATCAGTTGGAAATATCTGCATAGGATTTAGTCATTTGGTCAGTAACACAGATGAATGCAAAAGCTTAAGAGAGCCTAAAGAATTTGTGAAAACCAGCTGAAATAAAAGAAAACACAGAGTTTCCATCATTCGGACACACCTGGAGACAGAGCATTGATGGATTGGCGTTCATTATTTCCTGACATCTGAATATGCACACGTTTGCACACAGACATGCAGACACGTGCACACAGACACACACATGCACAGACACGCACACAGACACACACACACATATATTCTGTACTTGTGTTCAGACTGCTTTCAATCAAATCTTGGTTCTTAGACTGGTCACAGTGGCTCACATCTGTAATCGCAGCACTTTAGGAGGCTGAGGCAGGAGGATCGTTTGAGCCCAGTAGTTTGAGACCAGCCTGGGCAACACAGTGAGACCCGTTCTGTACAAAAAATTGTTTTTAAAAAATCAGCTGAAGGCCCGGTGTGGTGGCTTACACCTGTAATCCCAGCACTTTGGGAGGCCAAGGCAGGCAGATCACGAGGTCGGGAAATCGAGACCACCCTGGCTAACATGGTAAAACTCCATCTCTACTAAAAAAATACCAAAAAAGAAAAAATTAGCCAGGAGTGGTGGCGACCTGTAGTCCCAGCTACTCGGGAGGCTGAGGCAGGAGAATGGCGTGAACCCGGGAGGCAGAGCTTGCAGTGAGCCGAGATTGTGCCACTGCACTCCAGCCTGGGCGACAGAGCAAGACTCCGTCTCAAAAAAAAAAAAAAAAAAAAGTGTCAACGAAAGGCTAATGAAAAAAAAGAAAAAAATCTGCTCTTTGTTCTTGTATCCATGGCAAAACCACAGCCTGAATTGATCTGTACCGCTTTGTGACGACGGCTCTTACAAACCTCAGGTTCAAAGCTGCTGTCAGTTCCATCATATATGAAAGGATTATCCTCTGCTATGACCTCCATAAATATAGCTGCTAATTCTTTATCATTTTAAAAGTCCTATAAAAAGAAAATCAAACCATAACTGCTTCATAATTGTAAAACAGCATACATACTTTAATGTCAATTTATATCAATACAATAATTAAGAAAGTGTACCAGAAATTAATATCTTTTTTCTTTTTTTTGAAAGATGGAATCTCGCTCTGTCGCCCAGGCTGCTGTGCAGTGGTGCAATCTCAGCTCACTGCAACCTCCACCTCCTGGGTTCAAGTGATTCTCCTGCCTCAGCCTCCCAAGTAGCTGGGACTACAGGTGCACACCACCACATCCAGCTAATTTTTTATTTTAGTAGAGATGGGATTTCACTATATGTTGGCCAGGCTGGTCTCAACTTCCTGACTCAAGTGATCCACCTCCTGCCTCCCAAAGGGCTGGGATTACAGGCGTGAGACATTGCGCCCAGCCATAAATTAATATCTTAAAGACTGATAATTTTGAAAAGCATTCTGGATTAACATTGGTATGTACGCCAGGCCTGGTCCCCTCCCCCCGCCGTGTCCCCTCCCCCCGCCGTGTCCCCTCCCCCCTGCCGTGCCCCTCCTCACTGCCGTGTCCCCTCCCCCTGCCGTGTCCCCTCCCCCCTGCCGTGTCCCCTCCTCCCTGCCGTGTCCCCTCCTCCCTGCCGTGTCCCCTCCGCACTGGAACGTAGTGTCCATGAGGGCGTGGGTTTCTGTTCGGTGCCAGGCCCCCAGCGCATGGTAAAGAGCTCTTCACAGAGCGGGCACTCGGTACCAGGTCTCTACACGGTTAGTTGCCAAGACAAACCTCCGATTTCCTTATTTTGTTAACATCAGGCCAGAGCTCTAACTTGCTGGAAGATGACCTGGCACTGTCAGAGTGAGCAGCATCCGATTCGTGGCTCAGGACCGCGCTGGGACTCTTGCTCTGGGCGTCCTAAGCAAGAACAAACACACGAGTCAGAGGGCTTCTGGTTTCCACAGAGATCCACACAGCCACACACACGCGCGCACACACATTATGTTAATGGGGTGTAACTGATTTACAATGAACTACACACGAAGTGTAATGTGTTTTCACATGTCTATACCTGTGAAACCATCGCCTCAGTCAAGACAGTGAACAGAATCAGGCACAGTGGCTCACACCTGTAATCCCAGCTCTTTGGGAGGCCAAGGTGGGCGGATCACCTGAGCCCAGGAGTTTGAGACCAGCCTGGGCAACACAGTGAGACCCCATCTCTAAAAAAATAAATAACAGGCCAGGCGCGTTGGCTCATGTCTGTAATCCCAGAAGTTTCAGAGAATGAGGCGGGTGGATCACTTGAGGCCAGGAGTGCGAGACCAGGCTGGCCAACACGGTGAAACCCTGTCTCTACTACAAATACAAAGATTGGCCGGGTTTGGCAGTGCGTACCTATAATCCCAGCTGCTTGGGAGGCTGAGGCAGGAGAATCACTTGAACCCAGGAGGCAGAGCCTTCAGTGAGTCAAGATTGTGCCACTGCACTCGAGCCTGGGCAACAGAGCAAGATTTTTGTCTCAAAATCACACAGACACAAACACACCCACACACCCACACACACCCACACACACATCCACACCCACAAACATGCACACCCCACACACCCACACTACACACCCCCACACACCTCACACTCACACACACCCCTACTCACACCCACACCTCCACACACTCCCACACCCACACACACCCACACAGTGAACTTTTAGGTACCCAGCCCGACGCCCGTCGTGGATGTGAAGGCTCCTCCACGCTGGCGACCGGGAATGCAAACTACTCCCAGCCCTGAGTGAGTCCTTGAGCTTCCTCCCCTTCTTCCCAGCAGCCCTTCCTTTAGGTCCCAGCTGTTCCCTCACACGCGGGCGCACTCAGCTGAGGGCTCAAGGACAGCCTTCTGCCCGTCTCTGGAGCTTGCTGTCCCTCTTCACAGCACACTTTCCTCCGTGGAACAAAATTCTACCTTTGCCTCCCCACATGACCGGAGTGTGCGAAGCTACCGTGAGCTGAACAAGAAGGATCAGCTTTAGTAAGTTTGAAGCTGAGCCTCTGTGATCTCTAAATCACACTCCCGAACTGTTGGTCAAAAGGGAGCAGTGATTGCCTTGGAGCATGACATGAACATTCAGGTTCCAGTGTACTTGGAGTAGAGACGGGGTTTCACCACGGTTGGCCAGGCTGGTCTCGAATTCCTGACCTCAAGTGATCCGCCCACCTTGGCCTCCCAAAGTGCTGAGATTACAGGCGTGAGCCACTGTGCCTGGCCGGGGTGTCCATCCTTGTGAGCAAGCCCTGGGGACCTGTTTAGCATCCCACGCACACTCAGGAACTGTTCCCCGACGGATCTGCTCTTGAGCAGGCCGTCCACTGTTAGAAACACTGGATCCATGTAACACAACATCTCCTAGTAAGATACCTCTGATTTCCTTCTGAGACGGAGTCTCGCTCTGTCGCCCAGGCTGGAGTGCAGTGGCGCCGTCTTGGCTCACTGCAAGCTCCACCTCTCAGGTTCATGCCATTCTGCCTCGGCCTCCCAAGTAGCTGGGACTACAGTCACCTGCCACAATGCCCGGCTAATTTTGTGTGTGTGTGTGTGTGTGTGTATGTGTGTGTGTGTGTGTGTGTGTGTATATATATATATATATTTTTTTTTTTTTTTAAATTAGAGACCGGGTTTCACCATGTTAGCCAGGATGGTCTCGATCTCCTGACCTCATGATCTGCTGGCCTCAGCGTCCCAAAGTGCTGGGATTACAGGCGTGAGCCACCACGCCCAGCCAATACCTCTGATTTTCTCATGTGTGGTCTAGTGGCCCCCCCAGCATGTCGGTAGCACTGTGACCTTCATTATGAAATCTGCTGTGGCTAGGAGTCCACTTTCTGGGTCACGGCCAGGAAACTCATTTTCCCAAACTTAAAAAAAATCTGTACACACTTCCAAAATGTGAAAAGGACATGTTGGCCGGGCACGGTGGCTCATACCTATAATCCCAGCACTTTGGGACGCTGAGGCAGGAGGATCACTTGAGCTCAGGAGTTTGAGACCAGCCTGGGCAGCATGGCAAAACCCCATCTCTACAAAAAAATACAAAAAGGCCGGGCACAGTGGCTCAGGCCTGTAATCCTAGCACTTTGGGAGGCCGAGGCGGGTGGATCAACTGAGGTCAGGAGTTCAAGACCAGCCTGGTCAACATGGTGAAACCCCGTCTCTACTAAAATGCAAAAAATTAGCCAGGTGTGGTGGCACATGCCTGTAATCCCAGCTACTTGGGAGGCTGAGACATGAGAATCATTTGAATCCAGGAGGCAGAGGTGGCAGTGACCTGAGATTGTGCCATTGCACTCCAGCCTGGGCAACAGAGTGAGACTCTATCTCAAAAAAAAAAAAAAAAAAAAAATTAGCTGGGTGTGGTGGCACAAGCCTGTAGTCCTGGCTACTCAGAAGGCTAAGGTGGGAGGAGCGCGTGAGCTCAGGGGGTCAAGGCTGCGGTGAGCCGTGACTGCACCACTGCACTCAAGCCTGGATGACAGAGTGAATCCCTGTCTCAAAATACATAAAACAAAATTTCAAAAGGAAAAAGGAAAGACTTCTTAAATTACTTTCTGGAAGGGTTAGTAAAACCAAGATAGTTTTGATGATGGTTTAACCATTCCAGAATAAAGTCATTCCTTGCTCTTTTTTTTGAGATGGAGTTTCGCTCTGTCGCCCAGGCTGGAGTACAGTGGTGCGATCTCAGCTCACTGCAAGCTCCGCCTCCCAGGTTCACGCCATTCTTCTGCCTCAGCCTCCCGAGTAGCTAGGACTACAGGTGCCCACCACCACGCCTGGCTAATTTTTTTGTATTTTTAGTAGAGATGGGGTTTCACCATGTTAGCCAGGATGGTCTCGATCTCCTGACCTCGTGATCTGCCCGCCTCGGCCTCCCAAAGTGCTGGGATTACAGGCGTGAGCCACCGCACCCGGCCCTCCTTGCTCTGTACTTCTAAGATTACCTAATTCTAAGACATTGTGTTACCTGATTTAGTATTGTATAAATAGTTTCCTGTTTATTTCCAGACACATCATCAGTTGGAACATTCGCATAGGATTTAGTCATTTGGTCAGTAACACAGATGAATGCAAAGCTTAAGAGAGCTTCAAAGAATTCCAGGAAAACCAGCTGAAATAAAAGAAAACACAGAGTTTCCATCATTCGGACACACCTGGAGACAGAGCATTGATGGATTGGCGTTCATTATTTCCTGACATCTGAATATGCACACGTTTGCACACAGACATGCAGACACGTGCACACAGACACACACATGCACAGACACGCACACAGACACACACACACATATATTCTGTACTTGTGTTCAGACTGCTTTCAATCAAATCTTGGTTCTTAGACTGGTCACAGTGGCTCACATCTGTAATCGCAGCACTTTAGGAGGCTGAGGCAGGAGGATCGTTTGAGCCCAGTAGTTTGAGACCAGCCTGGGCAACACAGTGAGACCCGTTCTGTACAAAAAATTGTTTTTAAAAAATCAGCTGAAGGCCCGGTGTGGTGGCTTACACCTGTAATCCCAGCACTTTGGGAGGCCAAGGCAGGCAGATCACGAGGTCGGGAAATCGAGACCACCCTGGCTAACATGGTAAAACTCCATCTCTACTAAAAAAAATACCAAAAAAAAGAAAAAATTAGCCAGGAGTGGTGGCGGCACCTGTAGTCCCAGCTACTCGGGAGGCTGAGGCAGGAGAATGGCGTGAACCCGGGAGGCAGAGCTTGCAGTGAGCCGAGATTGTGCCACTGCACTCCAGCCTGGGCGACAGAGCAAGACTCCGTCTCAAAAAAAAAAAAAAAAAAAAGTGTCAACGAAAAGGCTAATGAAAAAAAGAAAAAAAATCTTGGTTCTTTGTTCTTGGTATCCATGGCAAAACCAACAGCCTGAATTGGATCTGTACCGTTTGTGACGACGGCTCTTTACAAACCTCAGGTTCAAAGCTGCTGTCAGTTCCATCATATATGAAAGGATTATCCTCTGCTATGACCTCCATAAATATAGCTGCTAATTCTTTATCATTTTAAAGTCCTATAAAAAAGAAAATCAAACCATAACTGCCTATAATTGTAAACAGCTACATACTTTAATGTCAATTTATATCAATACAATAATTAAGAAAGTGTACCAGAAATTAATATCTTTTTTCTTTTTTTTGAAAGATGGAATCTCGCTCTGTCGCCCAGGCTGCTGTGCAGTGGTGCAATCTCAGCTCACTGCAACCTCCACCTCCTGGGTTCAAGTGATTCTCCTGCCTCAGCCTCCCAAGTAGCTGGGACTACAGGTGCACACCACCACATCCAGCTAATTTTTTTATTTTTTAGTAGAGATGGGATTTCACTATATGTTGGCCAGGCTGGTCTCAAACTCCTGACCTCAAGTGATCCACCTCCCTCGGCCTCCCAAAGGGCTGGGATTACAGGCGTGAGACATTGCGCCCAGCCATAAATTAATATCTTAAAGACTGATAATTTTGAAAAGCATTCTGGATTAACATTGGTATGTACGGCCAGGCCTGGTGGCTCACACCTGTAATCCCAGAACCTCGTGAGGCTGAGGTGGGAGGATCACTTGAGCCCAGGCGTTGGGGATCAGCCTGGGCAACAGAGCAAGACCCTGTCTCTACAAAAATTAAAAATGTAGGCCAAGCATGGCGGTGCATGTCTGCAGTCCCAGCCACTCAGGAGGCTGAGGTGGGAGGATCACTGAAATCCAGGACTTTGAGGCCACAGTGAACTGTGATCACAACACTGCACTCCAGCCAGGGTGACAGAGCAAACTGTCTCTCACACACACACACACACACACACACACAGTTTACCTCTCTATCCCTTCTCTAGCACCTCCAAAATAACAGTAAAGTATTTTTTGGCATCAGAACAGGACATAGAACATGGGAGAACAGAACACGGTCCAGGTGTGAAATATGAACACAACGCTGTAGGCTGAAAAGCACCTGGGGAAACAACGTACTGCACAACGAAACTGGTTTTACCACAGAGTAATTGACATGAAGAGTTACGCTCTTCGCATTGGTTAAAGTCACAGTTTCCAAGAACCTATCAATAATGTTAAGTGGGACCGGGCTCACACCTGTAATCCCAGCACTTTGGGAGGCTGAGTGGGAGGATCACTCTTGAGCCCAGCGCTGGGGATCAGCCTGGGCAACAGAGCAAGACCCTGGGTCTCTACAAAAATTAAAAATGTAGGCCGAGCATGGTGGTGCATGTCTGCAGTCCCAGCCACTCAGGAGGCTGAGGTGGGAGGATCACTGAAGTCCAGGACTTTGAGGCCACAGTGAACTGTGATCACAACACTGCACTCCAGCCAGGGTGACAGAGCAAGACCCTGTCTCTCTCTCACACACACACACACACACACACACACACACACACACACAGTTTACCTCTATCCTCTAGCACCTCCAAAATAACAGTAAAGTATTTTAAGTACAGAATGGTGACATAGAACATGGGAGAACAGAAATGTCCAGGTGTGAAATATGAACAATAACGCTGTAGGTCAGAAAAGCACCTGGGGAAACAACGACTGCACAACGAAACCGTTTTACCACAGAGTAATTGACATGAAGAGTTACGCTCTTCGCATTGGTTAAAGTCACAGTTTCCAAGAACCTATCAATAATGTTAAGTGGGACCGGGCTCACACCTGTAATCCCAGCACTTTGGGAGGCCGAGGCAGGCGGATCAGGAGGTGAGTCCGTGACCATCCAGGCCAACGTGGGGAAACCCATCTCTACTAAAAATACAGAAAAACATTAGCTGGACATGGTGGCGGGCGCCTGTAGTCCCAGCTAGTCGGGAAGCTGAGGCAGGGGAATCGCATGAGCCCAGGAGGTGGAGGTTGCAGTGAGCTGAGATCGCGCCACTGCACTCCAGCCAGGGTGACAGAGTGAGACTGGGCCTCAAAATCATGATAATAATAATGATGAGGACTTACCGTACTCAAAATGTTCAGGTTTCAATATTTTTTTTAAAAAAATCACTCATATCATCAGCTCAGCAACATGGTGAAACCCCATCTCTACTGCAACAAAATTAGCCGGGGTGTGGTGGCACCCGCCTGTAATCCCAGCTACTCTGGAGGCTGAGGCAGGAATCATATGAGCCCTGGGAGGCGGAGGTTGCGTGTGAGTTGAGATTGCACCACTGCATTCCAGCCTGCTACAGAGTAAGATCATCTCAAAAATAAATAAAATAAACAAATAAATAAATAAATAAATAAATAAATAAATAAATAAAATAAAATAAAATAAAAAGTTAAGTGAGGACTTACTGTACTCAGATGTTCAGGTTTCAATATTTTTTAAAAAATCACTCATACCAACCAGCCTGGGCAACATGGTGAAACTCCGTCTCTACTAAAAATATAAAAAGTAGCTGGGCATGGTGGTGGGCACCTGTAATCCCAGCTACTTGGGAGGCTGAGGCAGGAGAATCGCTGAATCCAGGAGCAGAGGTTGCAGTGAGCCGAGATCATGCTATCAGTCTAGTCTGGGAGACAGAGCAAAACTCCGCCTCCAAAAAACAACAACAACAACAACAACAACAACAACAACAACAAAACCACTGCTACCGAGAACCAGGAAGATTCGAAACTGAATGAAAAAAGAGTGTCCACAGATGCCATCAAGACTTTACAGGATTGACGGACAGAGACCGTGAAGACAGTCATCACAAAAACACTTCAATGAGGCTGGGTGTGGCGGCTCATGCCTCTAATCCTAGCACTGTGGGAGTTTGAGATGGGGGTGGATCACCTGAGCTCAGGAGTTTGAGACCAGCCTGGGCAACATGGTGAAACCCTGTCTCTACTAGCTGGGCGTGGTGGTGAGCACCTGTATCTCTAGGTACTCGGGAGGCCAACGCAGAAGAATCACTTCCTAACCCAGGAAGGAGGTTGCAGTGAGCCAAGATCATGTCACTGCACTCCAGCCTGAGCGACAGAGCAAGCCTCTGTCAAAAATTAAAAAAAAAAAAAAATTATTCAATGGGCAATTGCAAACATGCTTGAAACAAACGAAAAACTGAAAAGGGCCAGGTGTCACTCCCGTAATCCCAGCACTTCAGGAGGCCGAGGCAACAGGACTGCTTGAGCCCAAGAGTTCAAGATCAGCCTGGGCAACATGGCAATAACACGTCTGTACAAAAAATAGAAAAATTAGCTGGGTATGTTGGCACACATGTAGTCCCAGCTACTGAGGAGGCTGAGGTGGGAGGATCACTTGAACCCAGGAGGTCGAGGCTGCCGGGAGCCAAGATCGCACCACTGCACTCCAGCCTGGGTGACAGAGCGAGACCTTCGCTCAAAACAACAAACTATTTTTCCACAGTTACACACTAGATTACCATCCATTTTTCTTATGTATACGACGTTACGAAATTTGTAAAAACTCCTTAGCATTAGTATTTGATTCTGTTTAATCATTTGTATTCCCACAAGTACAAATTAAAAGTATCATGGAACAGGCCAGGCACAGTGGCTCACACCTGTAATCCCAGCACTTTGGGAGATCAACGCGGGCGGATCACGAGGTCAAGAGATCGAGACCATCCTTGCTAACACAGTGAAACCCCGTCTCTACTAAAAATACAAAAATCAGCTTAATATGGTCATACATGCCTGTAGTCCCAGCTACTCGGGAGGCTAAGGCAGGAGAATTGCTTGAACCCAGGAGGCAGACGTTGTAGTGAGCCGAGATCGCACCACTGCACTCCAGCCCGGCGAAAGAGTGAGACTCTGTCTTAAAAAATATATATATATCATGGAACAAAAACAACCAATAGTATGAGAACATTGTATAAATAAGATGTTGTCACTATTTTCCCAAGTAATAACTTTTGAAAATTCCATTTTCAATAAACTGTAATTGTTTTAAATGACATTCATCCTCCCCACTTCCTTTTTTTTTTTTTTTTTTTTTTTTTGAGACAGAGTTTTGCTCTTGTTGCCTAGACTGGAGTGCAGTGGCACGATTTCAGCTCATTGCAACCTCTGCCTCCCGGGTTCAAGCAGTTCTCCTGCCTCAGCCTCCCAAGTAGCTGGGACTACAGGCTCCCGCCACCACACCTGGCTAATTTTTTTTGTATTTTTAGTACAAACGGGGTTTCACAGTGTTGGCCAGGCTGGTCTCAAACTGCTGACCTCAGGTGATCCACCCGCCTCAGCCTTCCAAAGTCCTTCCTTTGTAAAAAGATTTCAGTTGGCTTTATTGCTATTCTAGGATCAGGCAACACGTTGGTCCATCAAACAGAGTAAGGTGTTCCTCCGTTTTCCTTTTTTGTTTTTTGGGGGATTTTCTGGGGACAGGGCCTCCCTCTGTCAACCAGGCTGGAATACAGTGGCATGATCACAGCTTACTACAGCCTCCCAAGTAGCTGGGACTAGAAGTGTGCACTACCACGCCCGGCTATGTTTTTTTTATTTTTTGTAGAGAGGGGGATCTCACTGTGTTGCCCAGGCTGGTCTTGAATTCCTAAGCTCAGGTCACCCTCCTGCCTCGGTCTCCCGAAGTGCTGGAATTACAGGCATGCAGCACCGCGCTCGGCCCCATCTTCCTTTAAATGACCGGATCTGCGTGAATAAACATACCGTAGGCCAGTCAGGCGCGGTGGCTCACGCCTGCAATCCTGGCACGTAGGGAGGCCGAGGCAGGTGCATCACCTGAGGTCAGGAGTTTGAGACCAGCCTGGGCAACCTGGCAAGCCCCTAACTCTATAAAAAATACAAAAATTAGCCGGCCATGATGGTAGGCACCTGTAATCCCAGCTTCTTAGGAGGCTGAGGCAGGAGAATTGCTTGAACCCAGGAAGTGGAGGTTGCAGTGATCCAAGATCGCCTCATTGCACTCCAGCCTGGGCGACAAGAGCAAAACTCCGTCTCAAAAAAAATAAAATTATATATATATATAAAATATATTAGTGTATATATATAAAATATATACATATTTATTTTAAGACAATGGCCAGTGTATATATATAAAAATATATATATTTATTTTAAGACAATGGTCAATGGTATATATAAATATATATGGCCGGCCGGGCGCGGTGGCTCACGCCTGTAATCCCAGCACTTTGGGAGGCCGACATGGGTGGATCACAAGGTCAGGAGATCGAGACCACGGTGACACCCCGTCTCTACTAAAAATACAAAAAATTAGCCGGGCACAGTGGCGGGCGCCTGTAGTCCCAGCTACTCAGGAGGCTGAGGCAGGAGAATGGCGTGAACCCAGGAGGCAGAGCTTGCAGTGAGCCGAGATCGCGCCACTGCACTCCAGCCTGGGCGACAGAGCGAGACCCCGTCTCGCTCTGTCGAAATGGCCATATATATATATATATATATATATATATGGCCAAGCTGGTCTTGAACTCCTTGACTGCAGGTGATCCACCTGCCTCGGCCTCTCAAAGGCTGGGATTGCAGCATAAATATATGTATGTATGTGTGTGTGTGTGTGTGTGTGTGTGTGTGTGTCTGTGTGTGTGTGTGTGTCTGTGTGTGTGTGTCTGTGTCTGTGTGTGTGTGTGTCTGTGTGTGTGTGTGTGTGTGTGTGTGTGTGTATGCGCCATGGGCCATTGTTATAGGCCATAGGCCATTGTCGTGCCCTAACCTGTGAGCACCTTGGGCAGGTGACGGCTGTTTCTGTTCCTTCCACGACCACAGACCACTGTGCTGCCAAGAGACTCCGTAAACATTCAGTGGTTCTGAAAATCCAGCCCAGATCTTCACCTGATTATTTGCATATCATAGCTGGAATATCTTGCCTCTCTTTACTTAAAATCAAAGTGCCTGTAAATAGAAAGCCAGTATTGAACTTAGGTGGTTACTTTCAGCATCCAGAGGAAGTGCCTCATCTTCATCGTAGGCTCGTGGGGAGGCGCTGCGTGGGGTCTGCAGTAAGCTAGATAAATCTCCCAGCATTTATTCATGTAATTCATAGAGTAGAGCGTCCGCTGTTGCTCACGGAATAAATTGCCTAAAAATACAATGTTCGGAAAATGATTACAGATTTATATTTTGAGAAAAAAGAATAGTGGTAAATACACTCCTATTTTTTTTGTTTTTTTCCGAGACAGTCTTGCTGTTGCTCAGGCTGCAGTGCTATGGCACGATCTTGGCTCACTGCAACCTCCGCCCGCCAGGCTCAAGCGATTCTCCTGCCTCAGCCTCCCGAGTAGCTGGGATGACAGGCATGCACCACCACGCCCGGCTAATTTTTTGTGTTTTTAGTAGAGACAGGGTTTTGCCATGTTGGCCAGGCTGGTCTTGAGCTCCTTGACCTCAGGTGGTCCGCCCGCCTCGGCCTCCCAAACTGCTGGGATTGCAGGAGTGAGCCACTGCGCCCAGCCCAGATTTATATTTTGAGGAAAAAAAATGGGGCGGTAAATAGAATCCTGTTGGTTTTGTATTTACCTTTTATCTGGCAGGCATTTGGATGAATGTTCTCGATCATCAGTTTTGTAAAACACAAGAAAAGCAATGGGCTTCTCCTTCTGTGATAATGATCAAAAGATACAATAATTACTTCTCCAAAAGAGGGAAATTCCCTTCTCCTTGAGCACAGGCTAGACTTAATAATTTGCTTCTAATGTATAGAGTATAGAAAGGGAAGGCTGGAGTCAGTGGCTCACACCTATAATCCCAGCATTTTGGGAGGCCAAGGCAGGCGAATCACTTGAGGTCAGGAGTTCAAGACCAGCCTGGACAACATGGTGAAACCCCATCTCTACTAAAAATACAAAAAATTAGCTGGGCTTGGTGGTGGACACCTGTAATCCCAGCTATTTGAGAGGCTGAGGCTGAGGCTGAGGCAGGAGAATCACTTGAGGTCAGGAGTTCAAGACCAGCCTGGACAACATGGTGAAACCCCATCTCTACTAAAAATACAAAAAATTAGCTGGGCTTGGTGGTGGACACCTGTAATCCCAGCTATTTGGGAGGCTGAGGCAGGAGAATCACTGGAACCCGGGAGGTGGAGGTTGCAGTGAGCCGAGATGGTGCCACTGCACTCCAGCCTGGGTGACAGAGCAAGACTCCATCTCAAAAAAATAAATACATAAATAAAAGTTTTTTGAAAAAAGATATAAAACCCTTTTTGCTGTAAGAAAGACAAGAAATTCTGACATAAGAAAGAAGAGTTGGTTGTGACTATTTGTTTCTGCATTAAAAACCCCAAGAGACATTTGCAGTATTGAACAGATTCAAATATGAGGGTTTTCAAAGTTTTGATCAAGTGTCTCATGGCTTTGTGGTTAATATTTGTGGAAAGGTTGTGTTCTGAGTCCTTCATTTCAAGGGTATGTTAAAAAAAAAAGAGACTGCTGAGGCTGGGCACAGTGGCTCACGTCTGTAATCCCAGCACTTTGAGAGGCTGAGGCAGGTGGATTGCCTGAGGTCAGAAGTTCGAAACCAGCCTGGCCGACATGGTAAAACCCCATCTCTACTAAAAATACAACAACAAAAACATTAGCCAGGCATAGTGGCACACGCCTGTCATCCCAGCTACCCAGGAGCCTGAGGCAGAAGAATTGCTTGAACCTGGGAGGCAGAGGTTGCAGTGAGCCATGATTGTGCCATTGCACTCCAGCCTGGGCAACAGAGCAAGACTCTGTCTCCAAAAAAATAAAAATGACTGCTGAAGAAAAGAAGGCATTATGACAATAGTACAACTTAGCTGTGCTCCGTCCCCCAGTGAGGGTCCAGAAATAGTACTTACTGGAATTCTTCGTGATAAATGTGGTATGCCAAACGCAGGAGGTAATTCAAAAATGTTCTCAGAAGTAGTGTTGTAAATGGAGAATGAATTTCTTCAACTGGTATGTCATTATTGGCTAAAATAAGAAAATTGGAGAGGATGTCTGATATTTGCTAGAACCTTCCATTTTATTTGTTCCTGGTATACAATTTGAGGAACTGAATATGAGAGCGTACTTATTTCAAAATGCTCTGAACATGTATAAGCATCCAACTAAAATTTTAAAACTCCGTGAAAGCCAGGCACAGTGGCTCACGCCTGTAATCCCAGCACTTTGGGAGCTGGAAGCAGGCCAAGGTGCCTGAGGTCAGGAGTTTGAGACCAGCCTGGGCAACATGGTGAAACCCTGTCTCTACCAAAAATACAAAAAGTTAGCCAGGTGTGGTGAATTCTTCACCTGCAATCCCAGCTACTCGGGAGACTGAGGCAGGAGGGTGCCAGAACCCAGGAGGCAGGACTTGCATTGAGCCAAGATTGAGTCACTGCACTCCAGCCTGAGCAACAGAAGCGGGAACTTCGTCTAAAAAAAAAAAAAAAAAAAGTCAACCTTGTTCCTTTACAAGACGAGGTATCTTGTCCCAGTGTTTCCAAGTAGTCTGAGACACAATCGATGAATGCTGCTAATTCTGAATGGATTTTAAGCGCCTGTTTCAAACACATAAACTTTGACGTAAATGGGCATTTTCCTAATGCTTTATTTTCAAGTGGATAATTTGAAGCTTGCAGCTCTGCCTCCCAGAATTTGGCTGAAAGAAGTCAAACCAAAGTTGACAAAATTTATCACTTCAACCCTAATGGTGAAATCAAGACCAATCCTAAAGACTACTTGGGAGCCTTTTCTAGACTCTTCAAGCAGTGCTAGTTCTCCCCATTTCTTTTTTTTTTTTTTTTTTGAGAACAGTGTCACACTCTGTTGCCCAGGCCTGAGTGCAGTGGCGTGATCTCGGCTCACTGCAACCTCCACCTTGCGAGTTCAAGCGATTCTTCTGCCTCAGCCTCCCGAGTAGCTGGGACTACAGGCATGTACCACCGCACCCAGCTAATTTTTTGTATTTTTTTAGTAGAGACGGGGTTTCACCGTGTTAGCCAGGATGGTCTCGAACTCCTGACCTCTGCCGCTTCAGCCTCCCAAAGGGCTGATTACAGGTACTGAACCATTGCATCCAGCCTTTTTTTTTTTTTTTTTTTTTTTGGTTGTTGAGACAGTCTCACTCTGTCACCCAGGATGGAAATCTTGGCTCACTGCAACCTCCACCTCCTAGGCTCAAGCGATTCTACTCCTGCCTCAGCCTCCCACTACTGATAGCTGGGAATACAGGCATGAACCTGGCATACAGCTAATTTTTGTGTTTTTAGTAGAGGCAGTTTCACACCCATTGGCCAGGCTGGTCTCAAACTCCTGGACTCAAGTGATCCACCTCGGCTTCAAAGAGCTGGGATTACAGGTGTGCGCCGCGAGGCCTGGCCGCCTCCCCATCTCTGACCTGACAAGTCAGTGCTTTTTCACTGTAGATCGGTGTGGTGGGGGAGAGAGGGAGGCAAACTTTCTGTAAGGAGCCAGGAAGTAGAGAGTATTTTTAGGCTTGGGGACCAGACAGTCTACACCACAACCCCCCTCCGCGGTGGTGCTTTGGGGTAAAGCAGCCACAAACATGAAACAAATGGGCATGTCTGTGTTCCAGTAAAAAGCATGATGTGGGGGAACCAGGGCGGACTGGATTTCACCCTGGGACATGCATGGCTGGCCAGCAGGTGACCCGTGCTGTTGCTGTTACGTCACGAGACTGTCTCTTCCTTTTTTTTAAGTACATCGTAATCACGGAGAACAAGACCACGTGCTGATTTCTGGAGACACTCTTCTCTCCCAACCTGGGCCTTCACACACTCCCCTCCGCATTTCCTAACTGCTTTCAGGTGACATGTTCTGTCCTTTAAACCAGCGATTACAGCCTTTTTGGCACCAGGGACCGATTTCATGGAAGACAATGTTTCCATGAATGGTGGAAAATTGAGACTGTTAGTTCAAGGATGATTCAAGCACATTCGGAGTGCATTTATTTCGATTCTACGGTGGCGCTGTAATATAATGAAACAATTCTACAACTCACCATCATATACACTCAGTGGGAGCCTGAGCTTGTTTTCCTACAACTAGACGGTCCCATCTGGGGTGACAGGGAGATAGTGACAGATCATCAGGCATTGGATTCTCCTAAGGAGCGTGAACCTCATCCCTCGCGTGCCAGTTCACGGGAGGATTTGCGGCCTGTGGGGAGGATGGCTGTACACCCTGCTGATCCTACGGGCAATGCGCCAGCGATGGGAATGGCTGTAAAAAAATCAGATGAAGGTAGGCCGGGTGCAGTGGCTCACACCTGTAATCCCAGCACTTCGGGAGGCTGAGGCGAAGCGTCACAAGGTCAGGAGTTCAAGATCAGACTGGCAACATGAGGTGAAACCCCATCGCTGGCTAAAATACAACAAAAATTAGCCGGGCATGGTGAGCACCTGTCATCCTAGCTACTGGGAGGCTGAGGCAGGAGAATTGCTTGAACCTGGGAGGAGGAGGTTGCAGTGAGCCGAGATTGCGCCACTGCACTCCAGCATGGAGCAACAGTGGCAAGGAGACTCTGTCTCAAAAAAAAAAAAAAGAAAGAAAAACATGGGTATATGCATTGATAGTTTTCTGGTTTGGAGCTTTTTTGTTGTGAAATACGCACTTACTCCACATACAGTCAGACTCCTGGGTCTCACGCACTGTGTAAGTTCTCTCTCTCTTCCTCCTTCTCCCTGACTTTCTCCTCCTCCCTCTATCTCCCCACAATCTTTCCCACAACTAAAGCACAACTTTGAGCCACAGGAGATGTGTCTTATTAAACTGAGCTGTGGCCAGCAAACAACATCACACAATAGAACTCCTTTTTTTTTTTTTTTTTTTTTTGAGACAGACGCTTGAGGTGGTGTCACTCAGGCTGGAGTGAGTAGCACAACCTCTTGACTCACTGCAACCTCCGCTCCTCAGGTTCAAGCAATTTACAGCCTCTGAATGGCTGGGATGCATCGTCTCCACGCCAGCTGTCGTTTTGTAGAGCGGGAGTTTCCTCTATTGGCTCTGTCTTGAAGTGATCCACACCTCAGCCTTCACTGGGATTACAGGCCTGAACCACCATGCCTGGGAACTCCTGATTTGTCAAGCCCAGGCCAATAGTCAGTTACTGATTCAGAAGTGGGCAAATGACCCTATTTTTGGCTCTGTGGAAATAAGAAGGAGCCCTTTTTAGAGAGCTTCTATCAAAAGTTCCTCCTTTTCTTCTAGTTAGTATGGTATGCGGATGTGAAGGCTGGAACCACAGCAGCCGACTTGCAATCACGAGGGAAGAAAACACGGCGAGGGAGTGTGAAGTGACAGGTGGGGAGGAGTATACCGTGGATAGATAGAAAGGAACAAATCCCAACAGCTCTGGGAACACTGGTCGTAACCTTGAAGCCTCAGTATTCTGTATTACACATGGCAGACAACAGTAGATTGTCTGTTGCAATAAACCACCCTCTTCACATTGCGCTCACACACACACACGAAAACTGATTAAATAACCCACTAAATATACAGAAATCAGTGACCACTGAAAAGCTTTGTGGGCACAGTGGCTCATGCCTGTAATCCCAGCACTTTGGGAGCTCAAAGGCGGGAGGATCACTTGAGACCAGGAGACCAGCAGCAAACGTGGCAAAACCCCTGAAACTACTTTAAAAAAAAAAAAAGAGCCGGGCGTGGTGGCGCACACGTGTGGCGTCCGGCCGCTCTGAGCTGGCTGAGGCTTGAACCGGGAGGCAGAGGTTGCAGTGAAGCCGAGATCGGCGCCCTGCACTCCAGCCTGGGTGACAGAGAGAGTGAAACTCTGTCTCAAAAAAAAAAAAGAAAAGAAAAAAGTCATGTAATCATAGCAAGAGCAGTAGAGTGATTGCTCCCTGCTGAAATAGATAATGCAATTTAATGAAGGCAGCACCTTTTGTCTAAAAGAGTTCTGTGGAAGACGGATGGTGATGGCTGCACAACAATGCGAGATGTACCTCTCATGCCACTGGACTGAGCACTTAGAAATGATTAAGATGAAAATTTAAATCTTGCTTGTGTACTTTACTACAATTAAAATTTAAAGGTATCTAGAGTCACTATATTTACCACAGACAAAATAGAAGGCAAAAATAGAAATAAAAATCACCAGGGTTGTGGGTGTGGTGGCTCACCTGTAATCCCAGCACACTCTGGGAGGCTGGGGGGTGGGCAGATCACTTGAGGCCAGGAGTTCGGGAGACAGCCTGGACAACCTTGTGTGAAACCTGGTCTCTACTAAAAATACAAAAATTAGCAGGCATGGTGGCCTGCACCTGTAATCTCTCAGCTACTCATAAGGCCCAGGGAAGGAGAATCACTTGAATCCGGGGAAGCGGAGGTTGTAGTGAGCTGAGATCGCACCACTGTACTCCAGCCTGGGCAGCAGAGCAGACTGCGTCTCAGAAAGAAGAAAATTAGCAGGGTTAATAGAAATTACTTGATGATCAAAAAAGCCAGAGCACAATGCCGAAAACTGACCCTCCACGGTAATGCGCGAACAACAAACTTCAAATATATGAAGCGAAACTGACAGAACCGAAAGCAGAAATAGACAAATCTGGAATTATACTGGGACATGTCAATGGCTTTACATCATTTCAACAGCTTTTACATCATTTGTTTGAAATGTGATCTTTCCAGGTCTGTACTCACCGTGCCATGTTTCTTTGTTGGAAACCATTCTCCGTCATACACGGCTCCACTGGCGTAATAAAGGCTTACCAGGTCTGTACTCACCGTGCCATGTTTCTTGTTGGAAACCCATTCTCCGTCATACACGGCTCCACTGGCGTAATAAAACTTGCCACGTCCGTGACGATGTCCGTTTACAAACTCCCCTATGTATTCGTTTCTCAAGGGATAATGGGAACTGGGGATTCTCTTTAGAAACCACGTGTGTGTTCCAAAGCCATTCTGAAAAAAAGCAGACGGCCGTCAGAAATGAGCAAAGCAGTTTCTCTCTTTACCCGAATCCCCTCAAAATTAGGATAAATGCAATGAAAACTGGAAAGGGCAAAGAACTTGGACTCTGGAGCTGCACAGACTTGGGTTCAATTTCAGCTCAGCTGCTTATTAACAAGTCTTTTGAACTAAGGCAGATGATTTAAGCCCTGTAAGTTCCTCATCCGTAAAACAGAAATAACACCTGCCCCTCAGCTTAGATACAAAGGAGTTCGAGACCAGTCTGGCCAACATGGTGAAACCCCGTCTCTACTAAAAATACAAAAAAAAAAAAAAAAAAAAACCAAACAAACAAATTAGCCGGGCCTTGGTGGTGGGTGCCTGTAATCTCAGCTACTCCAGAGGCTGAGGCAGGAGAATTGCTTGAACACAGGAAGTGGAGGCTGCAGTGAGCTGAGATCACGCCACTGTACTCCAGCCTGGGCAACAGAGCAAGACTCTGTCTCTAAAAACAAACAAACAGGCTGGGTGTGGTGGCTCATGTAATCCTAGCACCTTAGGAGGCTGAGGCATGCAGATCACTTGAGGTCAGGAGTTCGAATCCAACCTGGTCAACATGGTGAAACCCCGTCCCTACTAAAAATACAAAAACAACAATTAGCCAGGTCATGGTGGCGGGTGCCAGTAATCTCAGCTACTCCAGAGGCTGAGGCAGGAGAACTGCTTGAACCTGGGAGGTGGAAGCTGCAGTGAGCCGAGATTGCATCACTGCACTCCAGCCTGGGCGACAGAGAGAGAGACTCCGTCTCAAAAAAAAAAAAACCCAAAAAGACATAATGCATGTGTTGAGAATCAGTGGAGCGTCCGCCGCTGGGTATAAACTGCTCCCTCGCCCGGGCGTACCTGGAGGCCCCTCTCCCACCGTCCGGTGTACTCTTCGTTGGCGGTCAGCCACCTCATCCTCCCCTCCCCGTGGCACATGTTGTCTTCCCACTGGCCTTCGTATATATTTCCAGATTTATAACTAGGATGAAAGAAACCGAAGAAAAGCTATCAGTTACCTCCTACACAACGTTTACCTTTAAGACATTCTTTTAAACACTCCCCTTGAGCTCCTTTGAAGAAATCCACCCCTTGTACCTATGCAATCTTCTCTGTATTTACATTGAGGCCGGGAGCGGTGGCTCACGCCTGGAATCCCAGCACTTTGGGAGGGTGAGGCTGGAGGATCACCTGAGGTCAGGAGTTCGAGACCAGCCTGACCAATAAGGAGAAAGCCCCTCTCTACTAAAAATACAAAATTAGCCAGGCGTGGTGGCGCATGCTTGTAATCCCAGCTACTCGGGAGGCTAAGGCAGGAGAATCACTTGAACCCAGGAGGTGGAGGTTGCGGTGAGCTGAGATTGCACCCTTGCACTCCAGCCTGGGCAAAAAGAGTGAAACTCCATCTCGAAAACAAAAACAAAAACCAAAAATTAGCCAGGCTTGGTGGTGGACACCTGTAATCCCAGCTACTCGGGAGGCTGAGGCAGGAGAATTGCTTAAACTCAGAAGGTGGAGGTTGCAATGAGCCAAGATCATGCCACTGCACTCGAGCCTGGGAAACAGAGTGAGACTGTCAAATAAATAGATAGGTAGGTAGGCAGATAGATCGATCGATCGATCGATAGGCAGGCATGAGGTCCTAAGGGAGCAGAATGAGTCACTTTATTAAACCTTCTGACTATTTAATAAGGTGACAAAGTGGGTAAGAGCCAGGTTTTTAAAATCTTTTAATAATTCCCTATCGTATCATGATTAGTTAGTATTTGGCCAGTTTTTGAGATGGGATCTCACTGTGTCACTCAGGCTGGAGTGCGGTGGTGCGATCATGGCAGGAGAATTGCTTAAACCCACAAGGTGGAGGTTGCAGTGAGCTGAGATGGCACCACTGCACTCCAGCCTGGGTGACAGAGTGAGACTGCATCTCAAAAAAAAAAAAAAAAAAAAAAAAAAAAATTCACTCTGCTTAGAGAGAAAATGTTCTGTGCCACTTTTGCACCTTACTTTTAAATATCCGAAGTGAACATTATTTGGGCCCACAGACACTTCTTTGCCCACACCCCAAGCACAGCCGTGGTCATACCTACCATCTTATTCCCCAGCCCTTTTTGATATTTTGCACCCAGTCTCCCTCGTACCAACACGTACCCTCTTGATTGTAATAAATGCAGCCCTGAAACAAATAATAGTATCTTTATAACCATCAAACCTCACGACACAAACGCTTTGTCAAATGGAAGGATATCAACTTAAAAACTAGAACCTACACAGAGGTCAATGCCATATGTAAGCAAGACATATAACCTGTTATTTTTCCATTTTGCTGTTAAGAAAATGGTAAAACTGCTGCACAAGGGGAAATGAGATAATGTCACAAATCAATTTCTCCTTAATAAAGCGCCTTATTGGCCAGGCACAGTGGCTCACGTCTGTAATCCCAGCACTTTGGGAGGCCAAGGTGGGCAGATCACAAGGTAAGGAGTTCAAGATCTGCCTGGCCAACATGGTAAAACCCCGTCTCTACTAAAAATACAAAAATTAGCCGGATGTGGTGGCATGCGCCTGTAATCCAGCTACTTGGGAGGCTGAGGCAAGAGAATCGCTTGAACCTGGGAGACAGAGGTTGCAGTGAGCCCAGATCGTGCCACTGCACTCTAGCCTGGGCAATATAGCGAGACTCCACCTCACAATAAAATAAAATAAAATAAAATAAAATAAAATAAAAAGTGTCATATTAAGGCACAGAATGACTGCACTCATCACATTCAAGTCTATTCATTGTATCTAGTAACTATTAGTCAATTAAGTACCTAAAGAAATCCTGTCTGTTGCCACTTGGAGTGAACAGTTGAGCCTTCCATGTAACGGAAGGTCACTCTCTTAGGCACCAGAACCATTATTGTTTTACCCATTTGGACATCCTACGCATTTTACTGCCTCTGAGTACAAGTGAGCATAGTGTGCCCTTTGATCTACACTGAAAAGCCTCAAAAGGCTTTTTCACAGGTTTATCTGTGTGTGTGAGACAGAAAGAGAGAGCGAATGTTTCTATCTTCTCTCTCATGATCAGGCAAACTCATTCCTTCCTGCAGCCATTCAGATGCTGCTGTCTGGAAGCAGTGCCCAGTCCCTCCAATATGTCTCAAGCAATCTGTGTAAGCTAAAACACACACACACACACACACACACACACACAACAACAACAACTCAATAAACAGCCTGTTAAAGCCTGCATATGTCCAGGCACGGTGGCGCACACCTGAAATCCCAGCACTTTGGGAGGCCGAGGCGGGTGGATCACTTGAGGTCAGGAGTTGGAGACCATCCTGGCCAACATGGCAAAACCCCGTCTCTACTAAAAATACAAAAACTAGCTGGGTGTGGTGGTGCACACCTGCAGTCCCCACAACTCGGGAGGCTGAGGCAGCAGAATTGCTTGAACCCAGGAGACGGAGGTTGCAGTGAGCCGAGATGGCGCCACTTCACTCCAGCCTGGGCCACAGACTCCGTCTCAAAAAAAAAAAAAAAAATAATAATAATAAAATGCTTAATGTACACGATGTGAATTTCACCTCAATAAACAAAAAGTGAATATGCCCTGGACAGCGCCCGTCCTCAAAAAAAAAAAAAAAAAATAATAATAATAAAATGCTTAATGTGCATTAGATGAATTTCACCTCTAATAAACAAAAAGTGAATATGCCCTGGACAGCGCCATAGCTCCCACCTGCTTTCTTCCATGGCCTCAGACCTCCTGCCCTCCACACGGCTCGGCCCCCCACCCCCCGCGCTCCATCTGCCCCCGCCCATCTCCCCTGCCCATCTCCCCGCGCGCCCATCTCCCCGCCCATCTCCCCGGCCCATCTCCCCTGCCCATCTCCCCCGCCCATCTCCCCCGCCCATCTCCCCCGCCCATCTCCCCCGCCCTCCACGGGGCCGCCCCGCCCACCTTCCCGTGCCGCTTGCCATTGCACCAGTGGCCGATGTAGGACACGGGCTGGGTGCTGCACTTGAACATCCCGAACCCGTTCCTCATGCCGTTGACCACTTCGCCTTCGTACATGCTGCCGTCCGGCCACGTGTACACGCCGTGGTTCATCGGGACATTCTTCACAAAGTCGCCCTGAAGCAGAACGGCCATGGGGTGACAGAAGGAAGCGCTGGGGGTGGTGTCGGGAATCCCTGGTCCTGTGGGCGGTTCCAGGAGCTGCCTGACCTCTGACTCTGTTCTTGCCTCTCGAGCTGTGGTCACGCACTGAACATCCCCCTCGCATTCTCTCTCTTCCTTGTCTGCATTTCCCATCCTCTCATCCCACCCGACCACTGGGCGGAAGCTCAGGCAGGAGGAAATATCTGGGAGGTTGCAGGTCGACCGAGCTCGAAGGAGCGGGCAGGTGACGTTGGAAAGTGCTGGCTTCCAATCCTGACCCGGGGAACTTCAGATTCTTAGAACTTCAGATTCAGGGCGCAGTGGTCACGCCTGTAATCACAGCACTTTGGGAGACCTGGGTGGGAGGATTGCTTGAGGCCAGGAATTTGAGGCCAGCCTGGGCAACCTAGGGAGACCCTGTCTCTAGAAAAATATTTATTTAATTTGTTTTTGTTTTTGAGACAGAGTCTCACTCTGTTGCCCAGGCTGGAGTGCAAGGGCGCCATCTTGGCTCACTGCATCCTCTGCCTCCCAGGTTCAAGCAATTCTCCTGCCTCAGCCTCTTAAGTAGCTGGGATTACAGGCGCCCGCCACGCCGGGCGTGGTAGTGGGCGCCTGTAATCCCAGCTACTCTGGCAGGAGAATTGCTTGAACCCAGGAGGTGGAGGTTGCAGTGAGCCGAGATCCCGCCACTGCACTCCAGCCTGAGCGACAGAGCAAGACTCTGTCTCAAAAATGAAATAAAATAAATAGAATAAAATAAGGACCAGAAACCTTGCATGTCAGTCGCTGTCGCATGGGAAGGGAGCTGGCATGAATCCAAGGAGGGGGCCCAATCCTCAGGCTCACCTGAAACTTGGAGATCCTCCTCGCCCGGCCAGTGAGGGTCAGTCCCTCCGTCTCCTCTCACCGCCCAGCTGCAGTTGGCTTCCCGGCCCAAACTTGACTCCGTTTCCATCACTGCCTGGGTGTTATTTGAATAAGTGCATTATGCGCATGTGTTTTAAATGTCATCATTACCATTTATAAACACCATCTGTTAGAAGCTCTGCATTTGGGAATTTTAGAATAGCATTTCAGGCGCTCACTCACTTTGTGGGTGGGAATTGAGCCTGGTACAATCCCGTGGAGAACAATTTGGTCCTTGCAATCAATTTAAAAATACACATTCTCCTCAACCCCGCAAGACAGGTGAAATGAAAGCCACATAATGGAATACACGCAGCCAGGAAAAACAGATCTGCATCCATGGATATGGTTTCATCTCAAAATTAAAGGTACAGGCCAGGTGCGGTGGCTCACGCCTATAATCCCCAACAGTTTGGGAGGCTGAGGTGGGAGGATTGCTTAAGCCCAGGAGTTCGAGACCAGCCTGGGCAACACAGCAAGACCCTGTCTCTAAAAAAAAAAAAAAAAAAAAAAAAAAAGTAAAAATAAATTACCCGGGCGCCGTGGAGCACACCTGTAGTCTCAGCTACTCAGCAGGCTGAGCCGAGAGGATCGCTTGAGCCTGGGAGTTTGAGGCTGCTGTGAGTCATGATCTCACCACTGTACTTCAGCCTGGGTGACAGAGCAAGACCCCATGTCAGACTAACGAACTAAGTAAATGTGCCAAAGAGAGTGTGTAATAAACTGTGTGTTTGTGAAAAGCAAGACAGGCTACAGAAGGTCCAGGCTGCCGTGAGTCATGATTGCACCACTGTATTCCAGCCTGGGCAACAGAGCAAGACCCTGTCTCCAAAAAAAAAAAAAAAAAAAAAGTAGGACAAGCTGCATACATGTTTGTGTGCTCTCTGTGCTGAGAAGGCGTGGAATACCTCTAGAACACACAATGAAACCAGTAACAATTTCTCCTGGGTCCGGTGCAGTCATGAGTTACTAGATCCTCTGGTTTTGTGAATTTCTCTTAACCCATCTGCTGAATTACATCCATGAAAACAGGCTGTTCAATTGTGGGAAACTGATTGTTCCATCCAACAGTCTCAGTTTAGAACTATAGCTGGTCACAGGCCTCACCTCGTATTTTAATCCATCGGCCCAAATATACGTCCCTTGTCCATGCATGAGTCCTTCTGAAAACATACCCTTCAAAACAAAGCAACGACAAATGCTTAGAATGCAGCTGACACACATATATATACACACACACCCACACACATATATATACACACACACACATATATACACACACACACACATATACATATATATACACACACACACCCACACACATATATATACACACACACACACATATATATACACACACACACATATATACACACACACACATATACATATATATATACACACACACACATATACATATATATACACACACACACACATACATATATATACACACACACATATATATACACACACACACATATACATATATATATACACACACACACATATACATATATACACACACACACACACACACACACATATACATATATATATATTTGAGATAGGGTCTGGTTCGTCACCAGGCTGGAGTGCAGTGGTGTGATCATAGCTCACTGCAGCCTCGACCTCCCAGGCTCCAGCAATCCTCCCATTTCAGCCTCCCGAGTAGCTGGGACTACAGGCATCCACCACCATGCCCAGCTAGTTTTTGTATTTTTTGTAGAGACGGGATTTCACCGTGTTGGCCAGGCTGGTCTTGAAATCCTGAGCTCAAGCAACACGCCCACCTTGGCCTCCCAAAGCGCTGGGATTATAGGCAGGAGCCACGGCGCCTGGCCGGCCGCTGCTGACGGTCTCCCACAGCTGCCTTATCCCAGTTTCCCGTGTGTGAAGATGCTTGTCTGCGCACTCAGCAGCAGCTGCGTCCTACTGAGTCCTACTTTGAGCTGGCTCCACGCTGGGATCCATCCTTCTGGAAAAAGGATCTAAGAGGTCCTCATCTTCATGACCTAAGGATGACCTCAGCTACAAAAATGTGTTCTCAACTGGGTGTGGGGGCTCACACCTGCAATCCCAGCACTTTAGGAGTCTGAGGCAGGAGGATCACTTGTGCCCAGGAGTTCAAGACCAGCCCTGGCAACACAGCAAGTCCTTGTCTCTACCAAAAAAAAAAAAAAAATTAGCCAGGCGTGGTAGCACACACCTGTAGTCCCAGCTATTCAAGAGGCTGAGGAGGGAGGATCGTTTGACTCCAGGAGGTCAAGGCCACAGTGAGCTATGACTGTGCCACTGCACTCCAGCTTGGGTGACAGTGAGACCGTGTCTCAAGAAATAATAAAATAAAATAATCAGGAAAAGAAACAAATCTAAAATAACTTGTATTATACTGAGCATTATTTTTACCTTAAATAGGTAATCAGGGTTCAGAATAAAATCAGCATGAAGAGCTTCCAATTTCTTTTGAAGCATCAGTGGATTTTACTGAAGATTCGCAAATCTCCGACCATCACCCCACACCTTCCTCCCCCTCCTGCAGGTTCTCAAATGCGCAACTCACACGATAGGTACAACCGCCTCGAAAGACTGTGAAGCCTTTTCCCTCATACAGTCCACGAACTTTCTCCCCTTCATAGCTACAGAGAAATAAAGGGAATTCAAGGTAATGAACAATGTGAATACAACCAGGTGACAGTGGGTTAAAATATATAACTACGTAATGGGAAGAATGAAGTCGGAAAAAAAAAAAATATATATATATATACACACACACACACACACACACACACCACACACACATAGCTAGAAAGTGGAATAGGTCACCAGGGGTTTGAAGGTGGGATGAGGAATGAAGGAGTTTGGGGTTTTTTGTTTTGTTTTTTTGGGTTTTATTTCGAGATGGAGTTTCACTCTGTCATTCAGGCTGGAGTGCAGTGGCGTGATCTTGGCTCACTGCAACCTCCGCCTCCCGGGTTCAAGTGATTCTCCTGCCTCGGTCTCCTGAGTAGCTGGGATGACAGGCGCATCTCACCATGCCCAGCTAATTATTGTGTTTTCAGTAGAGAGGGGGTTTCACCATGTTGGCCAGGCTGGTCTCAACCTCCTGACCTGCCTCAGCCTCCCAAAGTGCTTGGATTACAGGCTTGAACCACTGGACCTGGCCTGGAGTTACTATTTAATAGATGGTTGTACAACACTGTGAATGTACTTAATGCCATTGAATTGCACACTTAAAATAATTAAGATAGTACATTTTGTTATATGTTTTACCACAATAAACTCTCTCTCTATATATACACCATGGGGCTCTACGTTTGCCACTTGAGTGATGGGCTTACTAGAAGCGCAAATCTTAGCATCACACAACATGCCCTTGTAACCTGCACATGTAACCCCCTAAATCTAAAATACAATAATTTTTTAAAATACATAAAATTACCTTCAGGTCAGGCACACATTATGTCTGTAATCCCAGCACTTTGGGAGGCTGAGGCAGGTGGCTTACCTGAGGTCAGGAGTTCGAGACCAGCCTGGCCAACATGGTAAAACCCCGTCTCTACTAAAAGTACAAAAATTAGCTGGGTGTGGTGGCGGGCGCCTGTAATCTCAGCTACTCAGGAGGCTGAGGCAGGAGAATTGTTTGAACACGGGAGGCGGAGGTTGCGGTGACCCAAGATCGCACCACTGCACTCCAGCCTGAACGACAGAGTGAAACTCCATCTCAAATAAAATACACCGCCTGACTGGCAGTGTGATACCCTATGGCACCCCCATTAAAATCACCTTTCCACGATGAGTTTGGTCAGAATGGACTCTTCGTATTGGGTGGCGTCTTCATTCTGCTGAACGTTTCGGGGGTCTTTTTTGGGTTTCGCTTCGTTAAGCTGCATTCCCAGCAATGGGACGGCAGCTGGGGACATCTCTTGCCTAGTGGTGTTGCCATCTTGTTTGGAAAAGTCTAGATTATCAGAGAGAGATGAGGGAGAGCGGGCCGACTTGTCCCCTCTTTTGTCTGCTTTTTTCTTTTCTTTCACCATTGCCTTGGGAAGATCCAATGGTTACTTGAATCAAATGATTCCTTTGGTTCAGAGCTGGTTGTTTCAAAGCACTGATGAGTTTTATCTGAAAAATAAAAATTACGTCTCCAAACACTTGGGGTTTTCATTTGTAGTTAAAATTTCAGTTTTACAACACAATGTCATTATCATTCTCCTGCCAAAGTCTGAAAAATTAGTTACCACGGCCGGGTGTGGCGGCTCACACCTGCCATCTCAGCACTTTGGGGAGGCCGAGGCGGGAGGATCATGTGAGTCCAGGAGGTCGAGATCAGCCTAGGCACATAGTGAGACGCCCCCTCTCTAAAAAAAATACAAATAAATTAGCCAGGCGTGGTGGCACATGCCTGTAGTCCCAGCTACGAGGGAGGCTCAGGTGGGAGGACTGCTTGAGCCTGGGAGGTCGGGAGATCACACCACTGCACTCCAGTCTAACAGAGCAGGACTCTGTCTCAAAAATAATAATAATTACAAGTTTCAAGCACCATCAGTTTATAAATATACAACCTCAACACTGCATTGGTTGTTCCCAAAATTTTTTTATTTTTGAGACAGAGTCTCACTCAGTCACCCAGGTTGGAGTGCAGTGGCACAATCACGGCTCACTGCAGCCTCCACCTCCCAGGCTCAGGCGATCCTTCCACCTCAGCCTCCCAAGTAGCTGGGACCACAGGCATGCATCACCACACCTGGCTAATTTTTTGTAGAGACAGGGTCTTGCTATGTTGCCCCGGCTGGTCTGGAACTCAGCTCAAGCAATCCGCCTGTCTCAGCCTCCCAAAGTGCTGGGATTATAGGTGTGAGCCACTGCACCTGGCCCTAAAAATTATTTAAGTTGGAACCATTGTCTAGCATGGTTTCTTGAAAGGTATCCCTACACATGAAAAAGGCTACTTAACCTCTAGGAAGCGGGCAGATCATGAGGTCAGGAGATCAAGACCACCCTGGCTAACACGGTGAAACCCCATCTCTACTAAAAATACAAAAAATTACCCAGGCATGGTGGCACATGCCTGTAATCCCAGCTACTCAGGAGGCTGAGGCAGGAGAATCACTTGAACCCAGGAGGCAGAGGTTACAGTGAGCTGGGATTGCACCACTGCACTCCAGCCTGGGCAACAGAGCGAGACTCTGTCTTAAAAAAAAACCCTCTCCTTATAGGTCAGCATTGTAAAGTGTGCAAGAGCTGGATTCAGGGTCCTGCACTGTCCATTACCAGTTCTGTGGGTTTTGTGTTGTTGTTGTTGTTTTGAGATGGAGTCTAGCCCTGTCATCCAGGCTGGAGTGCAGTGGCGCGATCTCAGCTCACTGCAACCTCTGCCTCCTGGGTTCACGCCATTCTCCTGCCTCAGCCTCCAGAGTAGCTGGGACTACAGACACCTGCCACCAAGTCCGGCTAATTTCTTTCATATTTTTAGTAGAGACAGGGTTTCACCGTGTTAGCCAGGATGGCCTCTATCTCCTGACCTGGTGATCCGCCTGCCTCGGCCTCCCAAAGTGCTGGGATCATAGGCGTGAGCCACTGGGCGTGGGTGCCTGGCCCAGTTCTGTGTTTTTGGGTTTTTTGTTGTTGTTGTTGTTGTTGTTTTGAGATGGAGTCTAGCCCTGTCATCCAGGCTGGAGTGCAGTGGCAGGATCTCAGCTCACTGCAACCTCCGCCTCCCGGATTCAAGCGATTCTCCTGCTTCCACCTCCCAAGTAGCTGGGATTACAGGCGCCTGCCACCACACTCAGCTAATTTTTGTATTTTTAGTAGAGATGGGGTTTCACTGCATTGGCCAGGCTGGTCTCGAACTCCCAACCTTGTGATCTGCCCACCTTGGCCTCCCAAAGTGCTGGGGTTACAAGTGTGAGCCACCACACCCCGCCGGTTTTCCTTTTTTTTTTTTTTGAGACGTGGGTCTTGCTACGTTTTTCCCAGGCTGATTTTGAACTCCTGGCCTCAAGCAATCTTCCCACCTTCTCCCAAAGTGCTAGGATTGCAGGCATGAGCCACAGAGCATGGTCAAGTGCTGTGTTCTAAAGCAAGTTGCTTAATCTCCTCTGCCTCACAAATAGAAATAACAGTACCTTGTATCATAAGAATTAAATCGATGACACACAGAAAAATCCCTAAGTACAGGGTACAGAGCAAAGGCAATAAATTGAGTGATTATCTCGTCCCTTTCCTGTTTTCAAACTTGAAATCATTGGTTTCCTACTCCCTCTAGCACTGCCATCGATTGAGCCCCTCTCATATGCGAGACAAGCAAGGAACAGTGTGCTGGAGTGGCGTTTCCAGCACATCATTGCTTGAGCTGTATTTCCAGCGCGTCGTTGCTCGAGCTCCGTTTCCAGCTCATATCTTTGCTTGTCTGGCATATGAGCTGCGGTGCAGGGTTTCAAAGCCATAGTTCACGACTTTCCTAATCTGGCCCCACCGAAAGCACCCTGGTCCATCAGGCAGGATGCATAGGTGAGCCATGTGGTGAAGGCCAGGTCTGGTCCCTTTTCATAGGCCCAAGGGGTGCAGTGAGCCCTTCTTGCCCTCTTCTTCCTGGATGCCATCCTCTGGCCACCCCAGCCTCCAGCTGAACCCACCTCCAGCCTTCTCTCTTCCTCCATTGTTTATTTATTGAGACAGGGTCTCGCTCTGTCACCCAGGCTGGAGTGCAGTGGTGCGATCTCCACTCACTGCCACCTCTGCCTCCCAGGTTCAAGTTATTCTTCTGCATTAGCCTCCCAAGTAGCTGGGATTACAGGCGCCCGCCAGCACTCCTGGCTAATTTTTGTATTTTCAGTAGAGACGGGGTTTCACCATGTTGGTCAGGCTAATCTCGAACTCCTAACCTCAGGTGATCCTCCCACCTCGGCCTCCCAAAAGTGCTGGGATTACAGGCCTGAGCCACCGCGCCCGGCCAAGCTTTCTCTCTTCCTTCAAACACTACCTTGCTCCTTCACACGCCCGACCACTGTCTCAGCGAAGCCGCCCCTGGGTCACCTAGCCCAAGCTACTCTCACCTCTAAATCTAGAGGGACCTTTACTACGAGGTTTACGGTCCTGTCAGTGACCTACAAATAAGTGAACTACAAATCAAGCCAATTTTCGTTTCTCAGTGCGTGTTTCCTAATGTTTCCTCTCTGTTCTCCGGGGCTTAAGGAGAGGCCATCTCTCTCCGGTGTCTACGGTGAGGCGGCAAGAATGGGCTCCCTGCACTGGTCGGCCCGGCCTAGGCCCTCCTCGCCCATCACGCACGTGCTCGGGTCCTGGGAGGCCGCGTCAGTCCGGCCGGCCGGGAAGGAGCAGGACTCGGTCGCCACCGCTGTCCTGGCTACGCATGACCGCGGCCTGGGGCGCTCACCTCGCTCCAGGAGCCCAGAGACCTCGCCGGGCTCGGGCTAGGTGTTGCAGGGCTCTCCGCGTCCCAGATCCCGCTCTGGTCTCCAGGCAACCGCGGACGCCGCCTGGCCCGCCCTGTGCTCTTAAAGGGGCCGCGCGCCAGCGCCAAGCAAGTGTCCCGCCCTTGCTGGTCCTGAAGGCCAGGGGGAAAGGCTGGGCGCTGGAGGCAGCAGGCCAGGGGTTTCCAAGCTCTGCTAACTGCTTCATCATAAAATAGGAATAACGCAGGCATTAGTTTTCCCACTGCTGCTGCAAACAAATTACCATAAATTTAGTGGCTTGAAGCAACACAAATTTATTATCCTACAGTCTGTAAATTAGGCCCACAGTGCTGGTTCCTTCCAGAGGCTCCGGTGAAGCATCCGTTTCCTTGCCTTTTCCAGCTTTTCCAGAAGCGGTCCCCAACCTTTCTGGCACCAGAGACCGGTTTCGCAAAAGACAATTTTTCCACGGATGGGGGTAGGGGATGGTTTCAGGATGATTCAAGCGCGTTGCATTTACTGTGCACTTTATTTCTATTATTTTTACATTGTAACATATAATTAAATAATTATACAACTCACCACCATAGACTCAGTAGGAGCCTGAGCTTGTTTTCCTGCAACTAGACGGTCCCATCTGGGGGTGACGGGAGACAGCGACAGATCATCAGACATCGGATTCTCTTAAGGAGTGTGCAACCTCCATCCCCCGCGTGTGCAGTTCACAATAGGGTCTGTGCTCCTATGAGAATCTAATGCCCACCGCTGATATGACAGGAGGCGGTGCTCAGGTGGTAACACCAGCCATGGGGAGTGGATCTAAATACAGATGAAGTTTCGCTGGCTTGCCCGCCCCAACCTGCTGTGCACTCTGGTTCCCAACAGGCCATGGACCACTACTGGTCTGTGGCTGGAGTGCTGGAATCCCTGTTCCAGAGGCTGCTTGCAATCCTTGACTAGTGGTACGTCCTTCCATCTCCAAAACCAGCATGGCCGCCGCTCTCTGGCCAGCAGGGAAAGGTCTCCACCTTCGAAGGACTCACCCAATGGACTGGGCCCACCCAGACAATCCAGGATAATCTCTCTACTGCAAGATCCTTAACTCGGCCAGGCAATATGGCTCACACCTGTAATCTCAGCACGTTGGGGGGCCGGGGCAGGTGGTCAGGAGTTCGAGACCAGCCTGGCCAGCATGCAACATGTTGAAACCCTGTCTCTACTAAAAATACAAAAATTAGCCAGTTGTGGTTGTGGGCACCTGTAATCCCAGCTACTCTGGAGGCTGAGATGGGAGAATCACTTCAACCTGGGAGGCAGAGGCTGCAGTGAGCCCAGATCACGCTATTGTACTCCAGCCTGGGCAACAGGAGCGAAACTTTAAAAAAAAAAAAAAATTCTTCACTCAATCACACCTGCCGAGTCCCTTCTGCCATGTGAGGCAGCGTGGTCACAGTTCTGGGGATTAGGACACAGCTGTCTTGGGGGCTGTTATCCTGCCACAGCTGCCAGTCTGCAGCGTTCGTAAGTGGGATCCTGCAGATGCCAGCACAGTGCCAGACACGATGGCACAGTTACTACTGTACTGCCTCCTCCAAGGGATTCTGAAGCAGGAAGGGGAGACTTCTCTTCCTTGAAGCCCAATCTGGGGAAGGGGTGGGCAGCAGGGGGAGTCACATCCGTCCTCTCTGGGCCCCCAAGAGGACATCTTTACTTCCATTTTCAGCCCAGTTCAAACAGGACAAGGTTCCATGAAAACTACTTGAAAAGACAGACAAGGATCCTTATATTCCCAGAACCACTCAAGGCCAGTAACTGGAATGTTCTATAGCTCACACCCTGAGGAAACCAAATCACAGCATCAAATTATGGGAAAATCAAACTCTTTTTGTTCCCCTGCGAGGACGGTACTTTGCTACCTTGGCCGCACACAGGAACGTTTAAAAATAGTGACCCTGTCCCATCCAGTCATTTTCTTCCAGCCGGGCAGACAGTCCCCCTTGTTTAAAAATTTAATGTCAATCAGGACTGAGAATCACTAACCCAAAAGGACCCTAATTTTAAATTTATGAAATTAAAGATGAATTTAATTATTAAGGGTTGAAAGTTATACACTAAACTATGTCCAGCCAGAGCAGAGGGCTGAGTGACTTCCACAGCGGTTTGTTTTGTTTTGTTTTGAGACGGAGTCTTGTTCTATCCCCCAGGGTGGAGTACAATGGCGCGATCTCGGCTCACTACAACCTCCATCTCCCTGGTTCAAGAGATTCTCCTGCCTCAGCCTCCCGAGTAGCTGCGATTACAGGCATGCGCCACCACGCCTGGCTAATTTTGCATTTTTAGTAGAGGCGGGGTTTCTCCGTGTTGGTCAGTCTGGTCTCGAACTCCCGACCTCAGATGATCCTCCTGCCTCAGCCTCCCAAAGTGCTGGGATCACAGGCATGAGCCACCACGCCCGGCCCAAGTGTTCTTGTTTTTTTTTTTTTTTTTTGAGACGGAGTCTCGCTGTGTCACCCAGGCTGGAGTGCAGTGGCGCGATCTCGGCTCACTGTAAGCTCCGCCTTCCGGGTTCACGCCATTCTCCTGCCTCAGCCTCCGAGTAGCTAGGACTATAGGCGCCCGCCACCTCGCCCGACTAGTTTTTTGTATTTTTTAGTAGAGACGGGGTTTCACCATGTTAGCCAGGATGGTCTCAATCTCCTGACCTCGTGATCCACCCGCTTCGGCCTCCCAAAGTGCTGGGATTACAGGCTTGAGCCACCGTGCCCGGCCGTGTTCTTGTTTTTATAAAATATGTTCCTGCCTGGACACACACACACACGAGCACATGCAAACAGAAAAAAAAATTTTGCAAGTAGCTCCATCTGGTTTGAAAAGGTTCTCAAGATCATTTTTAAATGGGTCTGATGTGTATTTTTTTTAAGTAGCAGGTTCATTTGAAAACAAAAAAGGTTAGTGAAGACCCTGTCTTTCAAAACATAAAAATCTGCAATAAAACCGATGATTCCATACAGTGACTCCTGTCAGTTCTGCGAAATGACACCCAGGTTGGCTATGTGTCTCATGGTTGGCCTTCCATGGGGACAGTTCCAGGGGTGGTCCATCTCCCCCATGTGGGTGATCAGTTTCTTCATCTCGCTTGTGTTGAGAGCAGTCCCAATCATCACCTGAGGACGAGACACAATGGTTCAACGTTTTAATCGGTTTTTTTTTGACATCAGAATGGCAGCTCTTCAGAAGTACTGTTCTCTAAAATGAGACTGGATAAGATTACAGCTCAAAAACCACCTTCCCTGAAAAACCTTCCCCCAGAGAAGCCTAGGTTCTAGATCTCAGCCCTCCACCTTTCTGTGACATCAGGCCTCTTGTGGCTGCTTCAAGGTGGCACCGCCTCCACTACAGACGCGACCACACCTGTCCCGAATGCAGCCACTCTCAGTGGCCACCCTGCCCTCTCGCCCTGGCAGGTGCAGCAGCCTCCCAGCTGGGCTCCCCGCCCCACTGCGAGCCCTCCGAGCCGCTCTCCACTCAGCAGCCAGTGATTACGTCTAAAGCGCTGTCAGGTCATGTCGTTCCGCTCCACGGCTTCCCCCTCACCTGAACAAAAGCCCCCGTCTGTCCCTGACTTGGCCCTCACTGGGCTGTGCCTGCACCCCCACCTCCAAGCACGAATGCCTCCCTTCCTCACCTCAGCTGCACTGCTACTCCCTTCCTCTTGCACAGTTCCATCAAGCAAACACCTGCCTCGGGGCTGTGGCACTCCCGGGACCCTCTCCCCCAGTGGGTGCAGGCGTCACTCCCCCTCTGTTGAGCTCCACCCTGCTGCCCTGGCAGGGCACTCCAGCCCTGGCCCTGCTGCCTCCCTGCCATGGGTCCTCTGACAGGAAGAGAGGAGACAAGCCTGAAGCGCTCTGTCACCTCCCTTCTTCCTGCAGCACTGAGGGCTCGCCATGTGCCAAGCACAGTCGGAAAGCGGCAACAGCAGTGACGGCAGGGTTCCACCAGGTCGGAGGAGGACAGATAATCAACAAGTCAACAGAGAACCAAGACAGATGGCGCCCAGGAGAGGAGGCCTGCTCAGGTGTGGGGAGGGGGTGAAGGGTGAAGGTGGCAAACCCAGGTAGAGAGGAGCGTAGGGAGAACGGGTGTAAGGCGGGGAGGAGACTGGGCGAGTGTGGAACTGGAAGGTGGCCACATGGCTGGAAGCATGGTGGGGAGGAGATGGGGCTGGAAGGGTGGGCAGGCAGTGACAACACTGGAGACGGAGGAGTAGGCCAGGGCGGGAGGGAAGGAGCAGCCTGTGGTTCCCCGAGCCCCTGAGTCACACTAAAGACTCAGGACGTCAAAACTGACCAGCTGTGAGCTCAGCTCCACACTCTCACTCACAGATGCCAAGACTGGAAGGTCCATATTAGGTCTTGTTGTTTTTTTTGCGAGGCAGGGGCTGGTGGTGGGACTCTGTCTCCCAGACTGGAACACTATGGCTAGAACGCAGACTCTGGGCCCTCTTCTAATTAAACTCTGCCTTTGGTCATTTCATCTAATCTCAGGGCTGTAAGTTACACCTGATGCTCCCACAGCAGGCTCCCTCCCTCCCACCCACTCCCCACGTGGCCCCCAGCTGCTGCTCTCCCCAGCTGCCCCAGTCATGGCACCCCTTCCAGTCTGTTCTCTCTCCAGCAGCTGCAATCATGGGACTCCGAGTCTGTTCTCTCCAGTGGCTCCAGCCACACACAGCACAGACCCCCAGGGTCTAGGCATGACCGGCAATACTCTGGACGCCTCTGGACGCCGCTCTGCTCACTCCCTTCCCCTCTCCAGGGACACAATCGGCCTCTGGCTTCAGTCTTGCTACTTCCTCCACTTGGAAAGTTCTTACCCAAGAGGGCTCCAGCCTACTTTTTTTTTTTTGAGACAAGGTCTTACTTTGTCACCCAGGCTGGAGTGCAGTTGCGTGATCTTGGCTCATTGCAACCTCAACCTCCCCGGCTCAAGTGATCCTCCCACCTCAGCCTCCTGAGTAGCTGCTGACTGCAGGAACCCGCCACCACGCCTGGTTAATCTTTCAATTTCCCCACCTTTTAGATGGCAGCTGAGATGCCACCTGCCCAGATGCTGTTCCCTGACCACCATCTCACCTGGTCACCATGTTTTTTTGTAGTCATTTCCTGTCCCAAGACGCTGTTTTAGGCCAGGCGTGGTGGCTCACGCCTGTAATCCCAGCACTTTGGGAGGCCTAGGCGGGCGGATCACGAGGTCAGGAGATCGAGACCAGCCTGACCAACATGGTGAAACCCCGTCTCTATTAAAAATATAAAAATTAGCCAGGTGTGGTGGTGCACACCTGTAGTCCCAGCTACTCGGGAGGCTGAGGCAGGCGAATCGCTTGAACCCGGGAAGCGGAGGTTGCAGTGAGCTGAGATCATGCCACCGCACTCCAGCCTGGTAGCAGAGCAAGACTCCGTCTCAAAAACAAACAAAAGCGCTGTTTGAATCTCTTGGCTGTGCTCACTGGCATCTAATGGGTGTCGTTTATTTGTGGTGATGTCTGTTTCTCCCCACTGTCCGCTCCACAGGGGCAGGGGCCGCAGCCGCCTTGTTACCTCTGTGTCCCCAGCACCTGGAGCAGGGCGGCCCCACAGCAGGGGCTCAAGGAGCATCTGCTGAATAAGTAAAGGAATGGCATCCTGGCCTTTACCAATGGCCAGCTGATACAGAGTCACTTTTCTTGGACATCAGGCTAATCCCCACTGCAGGCGTAGCCCCTGCTACCACCTTCCAACACCAACCAGAGCAGCAGCAGTGGTGCCACGTGCAACGACAACCACAGCACCCCGTGAAGCACCCGCTGCCTCGATGACTCTGCAGAACCTTGTCTAATGTCGCCAAGTCCTGGCAGCAGCAAATCTCTATCTACCAGTGTTGTTAGGACCCATGAGGTCCATAGACGAACAAGGTGCCTCAACCACTAACTGCGTTGGAGTCAATGAAAGCTCTGAGATAGAATACTGGCCGGGCACGGTGGCTCATGCCTGTAATTCCAGCACTTTGGGAGGCTGAGGCAAGGGGCAAAAGGAGCGTGAAGCACCCGCTGTTTCGATGACTCTGCAGAACCTTGTCTAATGTCGCCAAGTCCTGGCAGCAGCAAATCTCTATCTACCAGTGTTGTTAGGACCCATGAGGTCCATAGACGAACAAGGTGTCAAACCACTAACTGCGCTGGAGTCAATGAAAGCTCTGAGATAGAATACTGGCTGGCACGGTGGCTCATGCCTGTAATTCCAGCACTTTGGGAGGCTGAGGCAAGGGGCAAAAGGAGTCCATGTTTCTACAGACAATTTAAACATTAGCTGGGCATGGTGGTACATGCCTGTAGTCACAGCTACTCAGAAGACAGAGGCAGGAGGATCGCTTCAGCCTGGGAGGTCAAGGCTACAGTGAGCTGTGATTGCGCCACTACACTCCAGCCTGGGCGACAGAGGGAGATCCCGTCTTAAAAAAAAAAAAATACTGTTTTTTTGTTTTCTTTGAGATGGAGTCTCGCTCTGCCGCCCAGGCTGGAGTGCAGTGGTGTGAACTCGGCTCACTGCAAGCTCCACCCCCTGGGTTCTCGCCATTCTCCTGCCTCAGCCTCCCAAGTAGCTGGGACTACAGGTGGCCACCACCACGCCCGGCTCATTTTTTTGCATTTTTTGGTAGAGATGGCATTTCAACATATTAGCCAGGATGGTCTCGATCTCCTGAACTTGTGATCCTCCTGCCTCGGCCTCCCAAAGTGCTGGGATTAGAGGCATGAGCCACTGTGCCCAGCCAGGAATACTGTTTAACTGAGGTAACAAAAGAACAATAATTATGAGTTCAAGGTCCCAAAGAATGCAGCTACATAGATGCTCGGCCACGATGTTCCACGTAGCTCTGTGTAAAACGACCCCTGGCAATCACAAGGGCGTTTAACAGCCTTGACCAACTCAGGAGCTGGGCTGAGACCTTCCTCAGACTGTAAGCTGGAGCAGCTGAGCTGACAGCCGGGCTTTCTTTACTCACCGACTTCCGACAGGCTCTGGAGGCAAACATCTGCTTGACTCGGGACGGCCGGCACATGACCCCAGGGCTGTCGCTTAGCAAAAAGATCAGTTCATCGATGTCCTGGGGTCCGAAGGTCCAGTTTTTACTAGTTGACAAGGAAATCAATTTAGCCCTTTCAGTGACTGGAGCTAAAAGAATACAATTTTGAGAAAAACCCATGACTTGAGAGACACGTTTCACTTGAAAGCTACTTAGAGTGAACATCTGAGGCCGGGCGCGGTGGCTCACGCCTGTAATCCCAGCACTTTGGGAGGCCGAGGCGGGCGAATCATGAGGTCAGGAGATGGAGACCATCCTGGCTAACACGGTAAAACCCTGGCTCCAATTAAAATACAAAAAAAAAAAAAAAAATTAGCTGGACGTGGTGGCGTATGCTGGTAATTCTAGCTACTCGGGAGGCTGAGGCAGGAGCATCACTTGAACCAGGGAGTCAGAGGTTGCAGTGAGCCAGGATCGCGACACTGCACTCCAGCCTAGTGATAGAGAGCGACTCCGTCTCAAAAAAAAAAAAAATCTGCTCTATGAATACTTATGGAAAAATACATACATCATATACACATATAGACACACTATTTAATAGTTTAATATAAACTATTAAATCTCTTTTTTGAGATGGAGTGTCGCTCTGTTGCCCAGACTGGAGTGCAGTGGTGCAATCTCAGCTCACTGCAACCTCTGTCTCCCAGGTTCAAGCGATTCTTCTACCTCAGCCTCCTGAGTAGCTAGGACTACAGGCATGCACCGTCAAACCCGGCTAATTTTTTTATTTTTAGTAGAGACGAGGTTTCACCATGTTGGCCAGGCTGGTCTTGAACTCCTGACCTCAAGTGATCCACCTGCCTCAGCCTCCCAAAGTGCTGGGAATACAGGCGTGAGCCACCACACCCGGCCTACTTCATTCTTTTTAATGGCCGCATAGGAAGTCACTGCACGGATATACGGTAATTTGTCTGTCAAATTCCCGACTAAAGCACATTTCGGTTGTTTCCAATTTCAATCGTGCACTCAAAGCTGCAGCAAAGACTTCTGTGCATAAACCTGCTCATCTGTGGGTGCATTTCCGGGAGACAGACGCTAGAGGGAGAATCACATATGTACTTTTTGATGGGAAATCTGAGAAAATGCACACTCCCGCCAATGGTGTCTAAGGGTACCTTTTGGCCAATACTGGGTATCAATCCTTCTAACCTCTGCCAGGCCGACCCCTGGGTCCTTTGCTGGGTGGCTTCAACATCTAATGTCATAGATACTATCTTAGTCAATCCAGACAAAAGACAGACACCGCCCCCAACCTTCACACGAGAAACTGACACTGTCACTCTCAGTCCCACACAAGTAAACGCGGTGAAAATGGATTTCCCGCAGTATCGGTGCTGTGACTATAAGAAATGACTCTGTTAAAGCAGCCATGGATGTTTTCTGGTTCTCACCTGGTGGCCTGAGCTGAGGATGAAAGGAGCTGAGATTAGGCCAGGCACAGGGGCTCACGCCTGTAATCCCAGCACTTTGGGAGGCCAAGGTGGGCAGATCATTTGAGGTTGGGAGTTCAAGACCAGCCTGGCCAACATGGTGAAATCCCATCTCTACTAAAAATAAAAAAATTAGCCAGGCACGGTGGTGGGCACCTGTACTCCCAGCTACTTGGGAAACTAAGGCAGAAGAATCGCTTGAACCCAGGAGGCAGAGGTTGCAGTGAGCTGAGATCGTACCAGTGCACTCCAACCTGGGTAAGAGCGAGACTCTGTCTCAAAAAAAAAAATAAAGGAGCTGATATTGTTGTTTCTTTCTGTAAGCTTTCCAGGAAGACCCAGTCCCATGCCACCATGCTCGTCACCATCACAATCAACCACAGGGGACAGTCTGGTGAACTGTGAGACTTCTACATGGCATGGATTACTGAGCCCACATTTCCTATTGTGGGGGGCTCCACACAGAGCTCAAATCCAAGTCATAACCAAACCAATCCCCAAATCTTATCTTCGAGGGTCTGTCTCCTGGTACCAATTCCAGATGAGTCAGAGTACAATCAAGAGACAAAAACCACACCAGCGATTTTAACAGGGATTCTTTTTCTTTTTTTAAAAAAGACAGGATCTTGCTCTGTCGCCCAGGCTAGAGTACAATGGCATGATCATAGCTCACTGCAGCCTCAAACTTCTGGGCTCAAGTGAGCCTCCTGGCTCAGCCTCCTGAGTACCTGGGACTACAGACGTGCAGCAGTGTACTTGGCTTTTTTTTTTTTTTTAGAGATGGGGTCTCATTATATTGCCCAGGCTGGTCTCAAACTCCTAGCCTCAAGTGATTCTCCTGCCTCAGCCTCCCAAAGTGTTGGAATTACAAGGTGTGCACCACCATGCCAGGCCTGAGGAGGAAAAATGTATAATAAAGCATTACACAAACTAGTAAAAGGTGGTTAACTACTATGCTAATAAATACAGGAATGGAAAATGCTACTACCTCTAGGGAAGAGGAAGAGTCCTCAGAAAAGGAACTCTTTTTTTTTTCTTTTCTTTTTCTTTTTTTTTTTTGAGATGGAGTTCGCTTCTTGTTGCCCAGGCTGGAATGCAGTGGTACAATCTCGGCTTGCCACAACCTCCGCCTCCCAGGTTCAAGTGATTCTCCTGCCTCAGCCTCCCTAGAGGGTGGGATTACAGGCGTGCACCACCACATCCCGCTAATTTTGCATTTTTAGTAGAGACAAGGTTTCTCCATGTTGGTCAGGCTGGTCTCGAACTCCCGACCTCAGGTGATCCGCCTGCCTCCGCCTCCCAAAGTGCTGGGATTACAGGCATGAGCCACCAGGCCCGGCAGAAAAGGAACTCTTGTAAAAGGCCCCTCCCCACTCAGGCTGAGTTTCAGATCTCCTTGGAGCAGGAGTGGCTGCAGCCTGCTGGATGAAGAGAAGCTGCCAGAGTGAGTGATGATGCAGGAACTCCTGCACCGCAGGAGGGAAGGGAAAGGACATCCCAGAAGCATCCCAGATACCAGCACAAATACCACCTCCCCTGGTGCCGATCCCAGGCTCTCCCGGGAATTGTCTGAATGTGCCCTGGTTCCCAGTACACAGATAATCTGCTCAAAAGTTGATGCTGGCCTAAAAGACCCAAGTCTTCCATGTCCTTGGAGTCTATGTCCTGCCACAGAGAACAGTATCTGGCCAGGCGCAGATGCTGGAATTACAACTGTGCACTACCGCGCCCGGCCAATTTTATTGTAGAGACAGGGTCTCCCTATGTTGCCCAGGCTGGTCTTGAACTCTGGGGCTCAAGTGATCCTCCCTTCTCGGCTTGGTTTCCCAAAGTGCAGGGATTACAGGCGAGAGCCACCGCACCCAGCTTCAAAATACTCTTAAGAAAAAACTTCACCTGGCCAGGGGCAGTGGCTCACGTCTGTAATCCTAGCACTTTCAGAGGCCGAAGTGGGTGGATCACCTGAAGTCAGGAGTTCGAGACCAGCCTGGCCAACATGGTGAAACTCCATCTCTACTAAAAATACAAAAAATTAACCAGGCATGGTGATGCGCACCTGTAATCCCAGCTACTCAGGAGGCTGAGGCAAGAGAATTGCTTGAATCCGTGAGGTGGAGGCTGCAGTGAGCCAAGATCGCGCCACTGCATTCCAGCCTGGGTGACAGAGCGAGACTCTGTCTCAAAAAAATAAAAAAATAAAATAAATAAAAATTTAAAACAAAAGTAAAAAAGTAAAAAATTAAAACGTTACCTTATCTCTTTTCTTAGTTCATCTTCAGCTGCTTTTCTTTTTTTTTTTTTTTGAGACGGAGTCTCGCTCTGTCGCCCAGGCTGGAGTGCAGTGGCCGGATCTCAGCTCACTGCAAGCTCCGCCTCCCGGGTTTACGCCATTCTCCTGCCTCAGCCTCCCGAGTAGCTGGGACTACAGGCGCCCGCCACCTCGCCCGGCTAGTTTTTTTTGTATTTTTTAGTAGAGACGGGGTTTCACCGGGTTAGCCAGGATGGTCTCGATCTCCTGACCTCGTGATCCGCCCGACTCGGCCTCCCAAAGTGCTAGGATTACAGGCTTGAGCCACCGCGCCCGGCCAGCTGCTTGATTTTCTCCAGGGCAAATCTTTGCCCTAAACTTCCTATAATTCTGTTTACCTTCACTTTGCTGTGTTTCACAATGTAACTGCTTTATTCGTTTAGCTAAAGAACTCATAGAAAAGTCCAGGGCCGCAACATTCTTATTCATTTTTTTTTTTTTGAGATGGAGGCTTGCTCTGTCACCCAGGCTGAGTGCAGTGACTCGATCTCAGCTCACTGCAAGCTCTGCCTCCTGGGTTCACACCATTCTCCTGCCTTAGCCTCCTGAGTAGCTGGAGTCGACTACAGGCGCCCACCACCACGCCCCGCTAATTTTTTTGTATTTTTAGTAGAGATGGGGTTTCACCGTGTTAGCCAGGAAGGTCTCGATCTTCTGACCTCATGATCCACCCGCCTCGGCCTCCCAAAGTACTGGGATTTAAAGGCGTCAGCCACCGCACCTGGCCCCTTCTTATTAATTTTAACGGCTACATCAACCTGAGAGGCTGACACGTTCTGAGTATTTACTAACTTTTGACGAATGTCAGAATTGGAAAGAATTTCTTCTTTTTTAAAACGCTTTGTGTTTGGGGATGCGAGATTAGTTGGCTGAGGCGAAACTCGAAATTTACACCCTGTGTCTTCCTGGTTTGGATGGCAGTCCACATCTGAAAAAGAGTCGTCAGTTTCAGGCACTTTCCCATGAGAGTCCGCGTGTTCCTGTGAGCCCCTGTCCTCTGGGGAGCTGGCCGCACACTCGCTGCTGCAGTGACTGCCCGTGTCTGGGATGCTGAACCCCTCAGAATCCACGGAAGTGCTGCCGTGCCCCGAGTCCTTCTCCACCTCCGCTCCGTCCGTAGGGTCCCTGGGTCCCTGACCGGAACTTGTTGCCTCTTTCTGAGGTCTCAGGAAGCCTCTGTCAGAGACGGCATCTGAAGTGCTAGAAGATGGCATACCCCTTTTCTGTCCTGGAGGGCTCCTTCTTGCTTCTGGAGTCTTTGGGCTGTGAGGCTTGTTCTCCGTTGTGTGACGAAGAGAAAAGGCCTCTCGCAGTCTGGAAATGGACACATCCCTTTTTTCTGCTCGAGTCCTTAATGAAGGGGAATGATCCTGCTTTTCTCCCAGGGGCTTCTCCAAATCCACTGCATGCATTTTTACTAAGTTACCTAAGCAAACGTGAACGGAGAAGAGGGTCAGGGACTATCCTGAAATGGTGAGAGGACGTGCTTATGTGAACAGATACTTCACAAAAGAGGAGATCCACATGCTAATTACACAGACAAACATGGTTCAATGTTCAAAATAAAACTATAACATGGGCCAGGTGTGGTGGCTCACGCCTGTTATCCCAGCACTTTGGGAGGCCAAGGCAGGTGGATCACATGAGGCTAGGAGTTCGAGACCAGTCTGGACAACATGGCGAAACCCTGTTTCTACTAAATATACAAAAATTAGCCGAGTGAGGTGGGGCACATCTGTAATCCCAGCTACCTGGGAAGCTGAGGCA